GCTGCACATTTTCTTTTGAACACATAACTTTGCTTTTGATTTCTTTCCTTTTGAAACCATAACTCAGATAGCTTTGCTATTCTCTACCCCAAACTTAGTACTTTGCTTGTCGTCAAGCAAATAAAATCTAGATGTCACCTCAAACTTAGTTTTAAACTCATCTTTGCATAAACTCAATATGCCTCTTTTCCTTCGGATGATTATAATGGTTTTTCATCAAGGCTTGTAATGAGGGAAAATCAAGGAAGGGATATTAAGCTCAAAGGAGTGAACAAGGACATTCAAGCATAAAGAGAGGTTCATTTAGGCTAACTAGGAATAATCAAAGAAGGCCTCCATCATATATGTGAGAAGTGTAAAATTGCATATTCAATCAAGAAACAAAGCAAGTTCTAGAGGGTGCAACAAAATTATCATTAATCACACATGAAAGAATGTATTCTACAAAGCTCAAATTCTTACCATTGGAATAAAGGTGATTATATCAATCAATTATGTTCACAATCCACTTTACAAATCCATATGCACAAAATGGTAAAAACTTATTTTTTTTAAAAAATGAAGTTTGGCAATCATATGAAGTACACAAACAATTTATTTACTCAGAAATCAAAAACAGGAAAATGGAAAAATGAATCTAAACTATTCATCACAAAATGGAAAAAGGAACTGAATACACAAATAATTATGAACATATACATATTTTTATGTTTTTTTTTTGTTTAGTTATACAGGAAATATGATACAATTCAGCACATGAATCAAGAGGTAAAGAAAGAAATAACTCTCTTTTTCATGCAAAGTGTTCATAGTGAATGTTCTAGCAAAACTCTCTTTTCAAAATTGCCAAGTATAGCCTCTATGTGACCACTTTTAATTCTGATAATGGAAGTTCCAGCGAACTACAGCAAGATATATCAGGAAACTCCCTTGTATGTTGATACTTTTATTGCCAAAACCAATTACTTACAACCAGAAACTCAGATTATGCATAAAAATGAAAATGAAAAACCAAAAATCAGAAAAATTAAAAGAGAAAGAAGTGAGTTGTCTCTCACAAAACACTATTTTAACGTCATTAGCTTGACACCTATTGATCTTTGGCTTTAGGAGATGATTTTGATTATAACAGCTCTTGCTCTATCTTTAAATGTTTCCGCTTTTTCTCACCAATTTGCAAGTCTTCATTTAATTGAGAACCTAAAAGAAATAAATGTGGAGGGACTTCTAGTAGTTTGATACACTCATTAAGCTTTTTTCCCTCCTCTTCATTAGCTTGATATGTAATTGCAGCAAGGACTTCTTTTATAGTAAAATCATCATTCTATTTTTCTTGCTTAGAATTCTGCTCTCTTTGAGGAAATGGAAGCTTCTTGTATTTAACTTCATCTATTGACTTAGATGCATATTCAAATGACCGCTTTTTGGTTCTTCTTTCTAGTTGCGTCTTGCCGCTGTCCTTTGGTTCTTCTTTCTTTAAAATAGTTAACTGCTCTCCCTTGCAATCCTTTTGTTGCCTCCATCTTTTTCATGAATGCCTCTTAATTCTTTAAACTTGACTGAGTAACTTTCATGAATTGGAGCAAATTTTTTTCGGGTTCCTTCATTCTTTTTGGAAGAGTCTGTGAAGGTTGTTATTCTTTTTGAGGTTAAGAATATGATGCTTGAAAGAAAAGCTGTGAAAATTGAGGACTGGAGAATGGTGTTATTGCAGCAGACATTTGTTGATTCCAATCATAATATGGCTGACTCATGTTAGCTTGATATTGATATGTAGGAGGAAGATAGGTTGAGATCTTTGAAAATTTCCTTAATAATTGATTTGTTCTTGAAATTCTGGTGCAACCACATCATAGATTTCATTCACATGGTTTTCATTGTAAAAATCACACCAAAGGGTTAGTTTGGGCAACTCTAGCTTGAAAATTATTAAATAAATCTTCAAAAGCATCTACTTCATGAGCTCCTATTCTTGTAACTTGGCTTTGATAGAAATTCTGATACATGTTGGTTGCCATTAAACAACAGAGCAACTTTACTTTTGGTTTTTCCTTGTATACAAAAAGAAAGAAAGAAAATTCAAATCAAAACATAACATGCAGAAAACATAGAAATTTATGTAGAATGAAATTTACAATTATGAAAAAAAATGCAAAATAGAATTATGCAGCAAAATGCAGAACAAAATGATGCAGAAAACTACGAAATGCAGAATAAATTAAACAGTCATGCAGAAAAATGCAAAACAACTCATGCAGAAATCAACAGAGAATTATGCAAAATGAAATTTACAATTATGCTGAAAGATGCAAAACAAAATTATGCAGAAAATAGTGCAAAAAACTACACAAAATGTAAGAAAAAAATTTATGCAGAAAAATTAGAAAGACAACAAAAAGAAATGTTCAATCTAGCTATCTCTCTACCACTAATGATATTGAAAATAAATAATCTCTAACAACGACACAAAAAACTTGTCACAAAGCTGAGAAAACACTAACTAGCAAGTGTACTAGGTAATTGTAGTAAGTAATAAAATTTAGAATTCATTTGAGTCTCAAGTATTGTCCTCAGGGATTAATTTTATCAATTACCATTTCACAAATCAATAACTAGTTGAGCCAAATAAATATTGGAGATGTTTTGAATAATTTGAGAACAAAAGCAATAAAGTGTAAAAATCATAAAATCACAGCAAAATAGAATGACAAATTTGGTAATGGAATAATATGTGAATGGAGTGAAGAATGATTTCACCTCTTTATTAATTACAAAATTACATTAGAATTCTATTAAATTCACACAATTTGAGTTATTAAAGACAAAAATTCACTTTATTGAACATTTATATATTTTTGTGTAGTTTTCACCTTCTAAATTACATTTTGCTATCAAAATCAACATAGAAAATTACGTGAAAACATAGTAAAATCTGGATTTATCACATATACAAAAGTAAATATTGTGGTCATCTGTTTTAAATTTTAGTAGTTTAATGGTTTATCAAATTTTGATAGAAAATTATTAAGAATTTGTTTTAAATATTTTATCTATTTTTTGTGAATTAATTTGGATTTATATTAATTTAATGACAACAAAATAAAGTTACAAAATTTTCTTACAAATTTATTTGTAAAATTAGTTGTATAAAATATTTTCTCTTTATAAATTTTTCTACAAATTTTTCTTATTTTCGTAGGAAATTTTTTTCATAAATTTGTAAGAAATTTCCTTATAGACTTTCTTGCATGTTCCTTAAAAACAATAAAAATACTTGCAAATTTTTTTGAGGATTTTTCTTACAATTTTTTTATAAAAAAATTTACATACAAATTTTTCTGTAAATTTTTGTTAGGATTTTTCTGCAGATTTATTTGTATATATTTTTTAGATATTCTATTGCAAATTATTTTTGCAGAAAATTATCTATAAATTTATTTCTATTAAAATTTGTAGAAAAATTACCTAAAGATTTTATTTTTTACAGAAATAATTACTCACAAAAATTTTTCCTACAACAATAAATTTAGAGCAAAATTTGCATGAAATATGTTTTTCTACAAATTTTTCAGAAATTTTTGCAAAAAAATCCCAAAATTCTAATAGTGTAACTCAGTCAAATTTGCTACGTGCATCATTCATAAAGATCAACTTCAATTCATTTTGGATAAAAGTAAAAAAAAAAAAAAAACAAGTAATTACAAGATATTGTATATCCATAATAATCATAACACGTCATCAAATGTATATTAATAAAGTTTAAGAAGATTAGAAAAACATAAATCTATTATTTTATTAATATATACTTACTAAGAAAGGAAGATATTAGAAGTATAAAAAATTTCAATCTAACTATAGAAAGAGTGTCTCTATTTCTTGAAAAATTAAGTTACAATATACTTTATAAATACAAATTCATAAAACATCTTTTGTGATCTTTTAAAAGAAGAAACAATCAATTTAATTCCTATAACTCCTACTTACATCCAAGTCTATAATTATGTAGTTCTATATTAGGAAATATATAATTGACCAATAAAATTTACCAAAGAATTAGGAAAAAATTATGTAGACGTCACTAACACTCCCCCTCAAGTGGGAGATGAATGTCAATCATCTTCAGCTTAAATAGTTTATTTAAATATTATTTTTATGACTTTTAAAAAGACATATCTATGTAGATAGTTTAATAGCTTATTTACAAGAAAACTTAATGACTTATTGAATGTCTCAATACTAAGTAGGTTATTAAAAAGACTAATAGGCCAAATTAGACTTTTAAAAATGTAAGGTTAGGCTCAATAAAAAGCTTATGACAAGTAATAAACTAAGCTCAGATTTCAAAATTATTAAACAAGTCAGGCCTATTTATGCAAAGCCTAACCTAGCGTAGCCTATTTCCATTACTAGATAAGATGAATAAGCAATAAACGTAATTGAAACAATGCAAATGTAAATCAATGTATATATGAAAAAAACTCTAACAAATAAGGCTCTTACTCTTAGAGAATATGTATTAGAGACATTCTTCAACTCTAATAAAAAGGATTAAAATTTTTAATTTAAGATTTTATTTATTTCAAGATTTAATTTATTTAATATATTATTATAAATTTTATAAGTTTTAAACAGGTCATTGTAATAAACTTGATAGACTTTTTCTTAAGCTCAAGTCTATCCTATCTAATTAATTAATTTTTTTAAAAAGTCTAAATTAAGACTATTAATTAAATAGGCTAGATTGAACTAAGCTTTAGAAAAGTTAGGCTAGAAACTCTTGTCAAATAGTTTGGCCTATTTTTATCTCTAATCACGATTGATTTAACTTTAAAAACTGACACTTGTTAGATGGGTCATAAGGCCTATCTAAAGGATTGTTGTCATAAGCTCATAGTAACAAAAATTCTTTCTTTGTATATTTCTTGCTTTAATTTTATCTTTTCATTTTATTTTCCAGACATTATTTGTGAAGCTCCACAGTGTTCTAGCCTTGAAAGGACGAATTCAAACATGCAATTTCTATGTAATTCATGTATTTACATTATATACAAATTCAAATAACAGAGTTCCCTTCAAACACTTCTTATGCTATTTTTATAATAATAATATGTTGTACAGTATATAATACTTCCTCCTGAAATGTCTAAATAGAAGCTTCTTAGTTTTTGAGAAGTTTCATCATGAAGTTGAATCTGATATCTGGTGAGGTCTTTGGCTGAGGCCACTTTGCTCCTTCTGGCACCTTAATACATTTGTAACCTTGGCCTTGGTATAACATTGTGGCCATAGGATTGTCCAAATCACAATGCAATGCAATAGCACGACAGCCCCAATTTCTGGCCTGAGATTCTGCCTTTGCTATCAATTGTTTTGCTATTCCCTTCCTCCGAAAATTTTCCCTAACTGCCACGTTTGATATGTATGCAATTCCAGTCCTACAACAAAAATATTTTATTTTACTGTCATTAAGGAGTCAAATGGTAAAATCATAATGGCTTTTAATAAAATGGAAGTTAATCATTAAGGAGACAAAGAAAGGTTATTCTAATAGGCATGAATGCTGGCAATACACTCCCTAATATTGATTAAAATTTATTGAAAATTACAAAAATTATATTGGTCTCACTTTTTTTCATTATTAAATTAATATTTTTTTCTCGTACTTTTGCAGTTTTTAATAAATTTTAGTCCATAATAAAAAGTGTTTTAAAGAAATTGTGTTAAAGAGTGTGTTGCTAGTATTCATATCTTCTAAAAGATGCAAGAGCCTACAAAAATGATTTAGTGCTCTCATTCCTGGGAGGAATTCATTCAGCAATGCTGAAACACACAAGATTTGTTCATTCTGAATCTTGGCAAGAAATTCTATGGCTGCTATAAAGGCCATAGCTGCTTAAAAGTTTGGTCAGTAACATGCTGCACAAGTATATAACAAAGTTCATTTCCCTAAAATGCTTTATGCCTCTTCAAGGAGCAAACAGCTCTCTTCCCTTCCAATAAAAGTCCATTTTATTAGGAGATTCCTATACGAAATAGGTCACGTTCTAAATGGTTAATAAACATATATAGTACAATACTGTTCTGAAGTTTAATACTTGAGCATAATGTGCCGACAAGGAAAAAGTACAAAATCCAATTTGATTTAAAGTGGATATAAACATCATTTTGAAACTTTTATTGACGAAATGTATCATCTTTTATTTCATGGCAAAACTATGAACTTATGCATCAGTATCCATTTCCAAATTAGAATTTTGTATATTGAGGTAGTGATTTTACTAGTCAAGGTATAAACATAAAACAACAAACAACAATAGGCTTATCCTACTAGGTACAAATAACAAGAATAATTTATATAGAAGTCAAGGTCCAGTGATAGAGTACTGGACCAGAATGTGGGCTTAAATGATGTAAGATTAGAGAGTGAGGAGAATGCTGAGCTGATAAGTTGGTTAGGGGAGTAGGGAATTTGGGAGAATAATGGGAGTTAGTTATGCATTTTGCTTTTTGTGTTTGAGAGAGAAATTATGTTTTCTCTTAGGAGCTTCTGCTCTGGTTTGCTGTAAGCATTTCTTCCAGTTCATAACAAAATTCTTCCATCAGTTGTTTTGTTTTATAAAATCTATCATCCAGACATAATACAAACAATTTAATTAGAAGTCAGAATCTGAAGGAAGATGGTGAAGCATGAAGACACACTTAAACCTCAAAAGTTGACAACACTGCCCAGTTTGGATAAGCTTATGCAAAAGCACTTATAAAAGAAGAAAATGAGGAGATAAAACAATTAAACTTGGAGTATGTTAGATTTCCTTTTTAAAAACAGTTTTTAGTTTTTAAAAATAAAATCAAACATGCTCTTATACTCTTCTACCATTTTGGAGGCTTTATCAATAAACTTCTCTATAACATGAGGTCCATAAGTTAATTTTAGCTTACCAAAAAGATTTTATTTGTTTTATCTCTTTGTTTTCTTCTCCCAAAATTACTTTCTAAAAACCTTATCAACACTAGGCCATTGTTATCTTTGGGCCTAAAGACAGATAACTCTGAATTACTAATCCAAGTTTTGAGTGTTCCACTGCACTCACCTTCTATGTCGCCGCGGCCCCTTTCTCGGTAGAAAGTCTGCAACATTGTCTACTGTTAATATACCAGCCACATATCCCTTGTTGAGGTTGAATTTGCCATCAATTGAGCTGCCAATAGCAGCCACCAAACATATTCTTCTGCAATCTCTTGGCCTAAAGAATCCAGCTAACATAGCTGCTAACATAGCCACCACTAATCTATCTATCCGCAACGCAAAATCTAATGGAAATGAATATTCAGGGAAGAAGCAGTTGCAGTGAGTCTCTGCCACTCCCCAATAGTCCTCTAATTTTGCCTCACGGACAATAACTTCAGGGGACACGGTTGGAAACAAATCAACAACTTGACTAGCCCTGCAAATTCCTAAATTCAAACACCAGAGTTTTATCTCCTAGTAAAGTTGACATCTCTTAGTATGTATAACAAGTGGAGAGCATGCAGACCCTAGAATGCTTTGTATCAGGTGTAATCAAAACCTATGAAGTAAAAATGGAAAACTGAATAACTTATTTCACATATTATGTATGATGCTCCACATTTGTTGTCAATGGTAAACTTTAGAAGGGTTTGAATAACATCAGGTGAAAGAGTAGGGGTGTTTCCAAGCAATTTTGCAAAATGGCATAACCATTCTCTGATGTTAAAAATAGCAGTAGTTCTGCTTTATCTATAATAATAATAATAATATGAACTCTTCTGAAACCTGCACAACAAGCAATTATGCAAAGAAGTACCTGATAAAGAAAGGGAAAGGAGAGAGAATTCATGAGAGCAAGGTGAAACATTGGATGGAAAAGATGGTGGTTTCTTAAAACTAACGTTGAAAGATGAGATTTTTGTGGTGTTTGTAACGATTGAGGACAGCATTTCGTGAAGGGTCTCTCTTGTCCAACTGCGTCTCTCCTCACTCAAAAAAGCATCCCAATATATATATATATATGACTTAGAGCAGGGAGAATAAGTGATGACATGACAAGGACAGGAGAGGGTGAGAATGGGTTAGCCAAAAGCCACCAAATTAAGGGCTATGCTACCTCTTTAGACTTGGAACTTATGTTATGTAACATCAAGCAATCGTAATATAATCAGATAAATAATTCGTTGGTTTAAATATATCTTTGTTCCATATAATTTATTTTGACTTTGGTTTTGTTTTTATATATTAAAATTTTAGTTTTTCGTTTTTTTAAATTTAGGATTCAGTCTTTATAGATCAATTTTATTTTAATTTTAGTTTTTATAATTTTATTTCATGTGAGTATACTTTCTTCATTGTATTAGACATTAGTTAAAATAATTATATTTTGCAGACTCGTAGACAGATTACTACTGATCGACATTAAAATTAAAGACTTTAAAACTAATTATAAAATCTTTGAATATATAATAATTAACATTATTTAAACTTAATAGTAAAATAATTTATTAAATAAATTTATTAATTAATAATTTAATTTTAAAATATAAATTTTTTAATTTTTAATTTCTTTACTATAAAAAATCATTTTAGCTACTATTTTTTTATTATATTATATTATAACTAATATTATTAAATATTAATAGTAATTTTATTTACTAACTAACTAACTATATATATATATATATATATATATATATATATATACACACACACACACACCATAAGCACATACATCAACTAATAAGAATTATTCTAATTATGGTCTTGAATTTAAATACTTAGAGAAGATTTTAAATATCAATGCAAATTACAATGACTGTGTAAGCGGAAACGAGGGATTCTACGAAAAAAAAAATGAAAGTTTATTAGGTAGATGCATGATTTTTATATTCTAACCGGAATAGAGGAGAAAATAATTGAAAAAGAAAATTAAATAGTTTTTTTTTTCAATAAATTAGTTAATTTTAAATTAAAAATCATAAAAATCTTGTAAAGTTTTTTAAAATCTACAGAACTTTTTTCAACTAAAAAAGTCTTTTAAAATCTTAATCTAATACACCCCTAAATATAAAAAATTTATATAAATAAATATTATATTAATGTTCTCATTTTAAGAGAGAAAAAAACACTTAATTACTTTATTTTATATATAAACAGAGAAAATATTAAATTCAATAAATTATATTTCAATACTTCTTAGAATTCAATTTTTATGTAAATATTTGATTATCTCAACCAATTTGAATATATAGAAAATATAAATTTTAATTTAATTATTATAAATATTAATAATTTTTACTGATTTTTAATTCATGACTACATGATACTGTACAACTACTTTACACTATCAATATGTATTAATTAAATTTTATTTTTTATTTAGAACTATAGTGATAAATTTATATCTAAATGAAATAAATATTATATATATATATATATATTATTATTTAAATATATATATATATATAAAGAGAGAAAGTAATTTTTTAATATATATATATATATATATATTTATTTCATTTAAATATATATATATAAAGAGAGAAAGTAATTTTTTTAAAAATTAAATATTTTAAAAATTTATAATATTTTGTTCTGATTATAATTTCTTCCTAAAAATAAATTTTAATTGTAAACTATTTTAATTTAATATCAAATTTTAATATTATATGTACATAAAATTTTTATTTTAATATATATATATATATATATATTGAATAAAAAATTAAATAAAAATTTAATTTTTATCCTAATGTACATCAAATATATAATATAGTGAGAGTCTATCCTTCTTTGGTCGCATTGTATATTTGTTTATCTGTCCATTCTATCGTTGCCTTATCTACTCATGTTTTATCAAATGAGTTCTAAATGTCTACTTTTTATATATAAAAAAATTATTTATAAATGCTTAAATTCAAAGTTAACAAGAAAATTTTGTTTAAAATTAAAGAATTTAATGGATTAGTAATATTAATTACTGAATTTTTCATTCAAAACATTTAAAAAATCACTTTCGTCATTGAAAATATTTTTAATGTAATTTTTAATGAAATATTATTTATTAATTTTTTTAACTAGTTAATAAGATTATAAATTTTAATAAATAATATTTATTTATTAATTTTTATTGTATAGTTTTAGACACATGTAAAAACAGATAAAATTTAACTTCAGTTTTTTAAATACTTTTAGAAAATTGACTCACGATCATATTAAATATAAATCTTATCTAAGTAAATAAGAATAATTTTATTTAAAAGATATAAAAAAAAAATAAAGACCATATATAAATTTTATTTGGTTGTTCCCCTACCTGTGATAAGACCGTAAGTGGCATCTTTCCACCTTCCTCCTCTCTCTACACGTGTCACACATTATATATACTAACCAAGTTAAATAATTTTTATTTTGAAACATGTATGTAAAATCATTCTATATATACTTAAAATGGTATTTTGTATTTAAAATCAAAGGATTTAATGGATAAATAATGTTATTTACTTTAATTTTTTTTAAATATACTAATCAGATCAAAGAATGAATAGCATTATTTAAAATAAAAATTGACCCCAATCCTGTAGATACCCATGAGTTTACAGGTTAATTTACTGATTTAACATTAAATTACAAATAACATTAAAATCCTTAAAAAAAAAAAGAAAAATAAATATAAAGTACATAAGTCTCAAATGAAAATACACAAATCCATAAAGCATATTGCTAAACAGAATTGTGGATGAACAAAAATTCACAATTGATGGCAAAAGTTCCATAGAACAATTAAGAGTGGGTTTGATCCTCCTACAAGTAAGGTAAAGCAATTTTAGTATTTTTCAGGTGTGCACCAGTGAGTGTGGGTTTAATGTGAAATATGTACCTTCTGTCTCGTAGCCGCAGATCTTTTTCTCTATCCTACCCATAATTGCTAATATTTTAATGTGATTTTAAAAAAAATTAATTATTAATTTCTTAACTAATTAATAAGATTCTTAATTTTATTAAATAATAATAATTTATTAATTTTTATTATATATTCTTAAACAAAATTTAACTTCAGTTTCTTTAAGTATATTTAGAAAATTATAAGTGTATACATCAGTAACTCATGATTATATTAAATACAACTATCTTATCCAATTAAAAAATAATAATTGTATTTAAAAGATAACACAAAAGAAAAAATGAAGACCATATATCCTAGAAGGACCGATTTATCATATATATATATATATATATATATATATATATATATATATATATATATAATTTTGTAAAAAAGTCACCGATAATGGGAGAAACTACTCACACGTTACCAGTAGCAGCGATTGATAGAGTAAAGTAAAGAAAAAGATTGTAAAAGCGCTGAAAAGGAGAAGAGGGCATTATCGTTGTCTCTTAGGCAATTTGCCATGTCCATGTCGATGGTTCACCCTTCGGTTCATCCAATCGAAGCACCACCCATGACTGAGCATGCAAATGCAATTGCTATGCCCAGACACAGCTTGAAAGACACGCAGGGCATGCCTGGCACCCTCGGCGGTTTCCTCTTGCGCCTCCTTCAGTTCTCCTTCGCTCTCGTTTCCCTCTCTGTCATGGCCACCACCTCCGATTTCCCTTCCGTCACTGCTTTCCGGTATCTTCAATTTCCCTTTTCAAATCTACTTCGGGCCATTTCATTCCTACTTTGCCCAAGAATTGGGAAATTCTGCCATAAGCCCTCGTTCTTGTTGTTGTTCTTTAAATCGATTGGATTCTCTTATCGTTTTTTCCAGTTACAAATAATATAGTCTAATTAGATAGAGAAATGCGTTCAGTTTATTGAAAATCACAAAATCATGTGAAATTTATTCAAAATACTCATAATTTGCTGAGTTGCAGTCACGATTTTATATTTTTCAATGAATTTCAACTAATAAATGGAAGAGTGTTAGAGACTGTGATTTTAGCAATCCGTTGGCTGGTAATATAAAGTTAGACTAAATGTTTTATTAGTATTTACGTGCAAGTTTTCCATCTGAATATCAACTTGCATTTGCCTCTCTATTCTATTGGGGAGTAATAAATTTTGTGTGAGAAGAGAAGATTTTGTACAGAGTATGAATTAGGAGTCTAAATCTTAGACATGTAATGAAAAGAAGATTTGAGAGCATATGAAGACTGTGGTATGAACGGTAGAAAGTCATGTTCCATATTGTAGGCAACTCCACCTCCTTAAATCTTTATTTGTATCTCTACTGTAATTATGCAAAGATGATCATTAGGGTTTGGTGATGGCTCCGTTCTCATAGTCTTCATTTTCAACATAGCATAACAGGTTTTGTTATATTTGCTGTACCAGCTACCTAGTTGCTGCTGTCAGTCTGCAAAGCTTGTGGAGCCTCTCTTTGGGAATTGCTGATATATATGCCATTTTAGTAAGACGTGGCTACCGAAATTCTAGAATTGTCAGCTTATTCTCTATTGGTGATGGGGTAAGACATTGCTGTTGAACTTTGTTAACTTGTGTAATTAATCTTTTAAAATTCATGTTATCCTCGCCACTCTCATGTTGACCACTCTGGAGAAAAAAAAAGGAAAAAAAAAAAAAACTCTCTTTGAGCTCATCCAAGAAAAATGTAACCATGGTGGCTGTACTTTGTAGTGAAAAAGTTATGTCATCATGCTTTAAAAATACAATCATATACTTGATAGTTGTCTGTCTTCAACCAGGGACAAGCATCATGTTAAGGAAATATAAATGTAAGACTTGTACCTGACCGTATGATTGGCTAAAGACTTATATATGCATAGGCAAAATTCATTTTAGCTATGGAACTGATCATTTAGTATTTTTAACATTATTCTTAGTTATGGTAAGTGGTATGATGCAGGAGTCAATAGTTTCAGTTACCCTATTATTGGGAATATTTGTTCATTCATTCATTTGTTTTATCAGTATAGCGTACTGCTTCAAATAAAAAAAAAGTGTACTGTGCTGTAATGCATAAGAAGAATGCAGAGGCATGCATACGGTTACTTTCTTGAAATTTAATTTTCTATGAGACTAAGTTTTTCTCCTGTGAATTCTACTTGCAGATTACCTCAACACTTACATTTTCTGCAGCCTGTGCTTCAGCTGGTATCACAGTCCTCATTGGCAATGATCTGAATGATTGTGCGCAGAACCATTGCAGCCGGTTTGAGACAGCAACAGCCATGGCATTTATGAGTTGGTTTGCTGCTTCACCCTCATTTATTTTAAATTTCTGGACGCTGGCCTCCAAATAGAAGCAGAGCAGCAAGGAAGGTTTTCAGCTATTTATGTATGGCATAAACTTTGAGGATTGATGGCCCTGATTGTTGCAAATTTTATTCATGGGCCTTTTTGATCCTTCTACAATTCAAGGCATGAGCTTTAAAACTTTAGCTGTAATGTTTATAATTTTTCAAATGATGAACAGTAATTTTCCATGTAAAATGTCTACCTGGGACCACATGAAGTTAGGAAGTGGGAGTTACCTTATGCAACATACCAATAATTCAGACTGAGCATGATGTGGATGAATTTACTCTAGTCTAGCACCCAGAGCAAATAAACTCCATTTCTCTACCTAGAGACATGAAATTGTACAATTCTAGCAGTTGGACTCGTGAGATTGACAAGATCCTAAATAAGCATGCCTACTTTCAGTTATGCATTGAGTCAAATTTAAAGATTATACAATTGATGCACATTCACCCACTACAGTTGTCTAGCACAGGACCAAGAGGAAAAGAAGGAAAGGAGGACAAAAAGAAGGAAGTCGAATATAAAAAATGAATGTAGCACTAACAGCAATGTGCAATGGTAGCCAGCATTCATGACGCTACATGGGATGTTGCAAGGTTGTAAGAACTCCAAAAGAGGCAAACAAGATTAAAGGGTACGATGGCAATGTATAAAGTATTATATTACTCATTTTATTGCAAGAGCTAAGCCTTTATATAAAGAAATGTTATGACAGGAAGGGTAAAAAAGGAATTTAAAACCAATATTGGTAACGGGTGATTTATATTTAATTAGGTCATATTGATTAATTCAATAATTGCACCAGAGGAAGCGCATGAACCTCAACCGTGTGGTTAACAATTAACAATTGCACGCTCTAAGCCACTGAGCCATTCGAGCATTTATTAAATATATTAATTCAAAAACTAAAAGAAATATTAAAATTAATTGTTATTTGGATTAATCATTATTGAAACTTTCAATTTACATTAACGTAGATATTGAAATTAAGAATTTTAAAAATAAAAATGAACTCCCAACTAAATAATACAATTTTAAAAGCTATTTCCTAAAATAGGTTTGTCTAGTGGTTTTTTTTTTTTTGCCATATTATTGACAATATCACACCTGTATGGATGGTATTATATTTTTATTATTATTATTTTAATACACTATCGTCCGATATAGGTTTAGATCTTAACACGTGACGAGGAACAAACCTATATTGCTTACACATGAGCTACAAACGTTAGTTAAAGTGCGTTGACAATATCGACTGGTAAGAAGTGATATTGTTGATTATCTAACATGTGTCATGAGAAAGTGATACTGTTGATTACTTGACATGTGTCACGAGAAAATGTTTTATATGTTGATTAATGACTGAAGATGCACTCTTTTATTTAAATTACTTAGGCTATATATATTCCATAAATATGTTGTTAAAATCACAACATAAGGCAAAAAGAAGCTTATATAGTTTAGTAAATTTTTTTATTTTTTTTGTTTAAATTTCAATATTTAATTATAATTAGTTTAAAAATTTGTAAAAACAAAGCATATTAGGATAGTATTTAATTTAAAAAAATAAATTTTTTAATTGTTAATTAAAATAAAAACTATTATATGTTATAAAAAAATAATTATAAGATAGATAATGTAGAAATAATCTAAATAATTTATTCAAGCATATAAGGTCAGTAATTTATTTTTTATAATTGATAAAAAAATTTAGACATTATTTAAAATTTATAAAGTTATTGTTTTATTAAATAAAATTGGAAAAAATGTAGATGTAAATAATTTAATAAAGCTTTTTATGGGTAGTATTTTCTTTTATAATTTCTGGTACTTTTGTAGTTGTCAATTAAATAATAAATTATAAAAGATTTATTAAAAATAAATTTGAAAAGAAAAAATGTAGAAATTATGTAAATAATTTAATCAAGCATATAAGGGTAGTAATTTATTATATTATGTAACAAATATTTATAGTTGTTATTTAAATATTAAATATGTATTGTGTTATTAAAAATAAATTTGAAAAGTAAAAAAATGTAGAAATGATTTAAATAATTTAATAAAGCATATAACGTTATTAATGTTATAAAATTTCTAGAATTTTGTATTTGTAATTTAAATATTGAATTAATATAGTGTTAAAAAAATAAATTTATAAAGTTTACAAATGTATAAATGATGTAAAAAAATTAATCATGCATATAAGTTATTGTATATTGGATAATTTCTCTGTTTTTGTTGTTGTTATTTAAATATTTTATTAGTTTTTAAGAAAAAATATTATATTATTTTTGTGTTATTAAAAATAAATAAAACTGTAAAAGAAAAAAGGTAGAAATGATGGAAATTATTTAATCCAGTATGTAGGGTTTTAATTTTATTTATAATTTATGAATTTTTTTACTTGGTCTTTAAAAATTTAAATTTTATATTGAAATAAAAAATTTATAAAAATAGAATGATATAATAAATTTAAAATTATTTAATAAATAATCATAAATAATTTAAATAAATTATAATTAAAAAGTATTTTAGTTTGAAATAAAATAGAGATCATAAAATATTAAATACTTAATAAAATTTTAAATGTAAAAATGTGTAATGACAAATAAGAAATTATATTAAGTAATTAAATTTGTAATGCTTTGATACGTTTAGATTTTGATTTTGTACATGTGAATAGATGTTAAATAAGTGAATTTTTATTAATGATAGTTTGAGAGTAATTACTGAATTTTATAATGATTGTTTGTTTTATTTGTACAAACTTGATATAAAATATGAATTTTTAGGTATATGACAAGCATTGTAATTACAGGTAAATAAAATATTTCTTTGTGAATAAAGTTAGATATAAAATTTACCAATCCTACAATATTAATTAAGTAACAATGCAATAAAAATCATAATCAACTGGAAATAATTTTACAAATATGGGTACAAATCCGCATTTATATATGTTAAATACAATAATTTACAAACTGTTTGTCAAAATACATAAGACTCAAATAATAATTACATAACCAGAATAGATACAGTCCCAAAACAATCTCAAAAGACATCATAACACTGAGGACTCAGTACTAGTCATCTTTGTGTCATCTCTCTATCTCCTCTAAATCCTCAGAATTGAGGTCATCATCTAATTCGAGATATAAATCTCCTGAATTAGTTGTAACCTCAACACCTCTAACATGTTCAGCGATAACTCGGGTCGGTCTTCCAAGATGGTCATGGTCATGATATGTAAATAGATATGTGAAGTGTACTTGAGTCCTAACCGTGCCTCTATAGATATAAATGCATAGAGTATGGTGTATTTTACTTGTAGGAAAATCAAAGAGAATACTATAAAATAGGTCCATCTCTAACATAATAATATTCTTAGGTACATCATCAACATGGACAGCAAACTTAAAATAGCATGTTCTCTGACACTCATTAAATACATAGTTTAGTCTATTATGTGCATAACTGTCTATTAGCCTAATTCTTTTCTGAGGTCTCGTCATCCTAGTTTTCTGAAATATTTAGTAAGGATAAATATATATCTTATCATTTAAACAATACTATTTTAAAGACTAACATCACAACACAATCATAATCATGGAACATAAAGGAACATAATAATATCAATCTCAAAACAAGGTATCACATATGCATATATTCCATCACAAGTTATTATATTTCTCTCTTTCATATATGCACTCTCAGTGCATTGTGATCACAGATATACAATGCCTCCAGTAGTGCTTGAGGTCTTACACAACTAGGTAAATAGTCACTGGTTAGACCATGCATACAGATACAACATAAAATCATATAATCCAATATCATTCAATCATAAAAATCATATAAGAACACATACACAAAGTACTCTAATGGGTATAAAATATTTATTATGCTTAAAATGGAAAAATAGAGCCCTACTTACCTTGAAACTAAGTTTTGAGGAAAGTTTATGAGGGGTTTTAAGTGAAAGGTCTTAGCATTTCCTAGATATCACAAAAACTAGCATTTTGAGAAGGGAGAAACATAGAAAACAAACAAAAATGAGAAACTAAGCTCCAAGAACTTACTTGGAGTTGATTGGGTGAACTTCCAAACCTAGATTTGAAGGAAAGTCGAAGTTTAGTAGAAATTTCTAAAAAGAGAGGGTTAGAGACTAGAGAGAATAGGGGAGAGGTTGAAAACTTGGATTGTAATCCAAGTTTTCTAAGTTGAAAACCCTTAAATATCTCTTAACTCACAATATTCTCGCTACAGCGAGTTATCTCTCGCTATAGTAAGCCCTTCTCTCATTGTAGCGAAAAAATCAAACAAATTTTTTTTTTGCTGTCTGTCATTCTAGCTATAGCAAGAGCATCCTTGCTACAGCCAGAGAGCTTCAAAGAGCCTGATTCTGGACGCTCTTTCTCGCCACAGCGAGATATCCTGCAACTTACATCATTTAAACTCTCTAAAATTTAAATAACTTCACACATATAACCAACATTCAACACTAAAATAATAAATATAAAAATAAGAATGTTACATGTATGTGTGTGTGTATATATATATTTATATATGTACATTATAATTTATATGTTTGTTCGATGTGAAAGTTTAATGACTTAGGATAAATTTGTGACATGCAGATGACTGATTTAATTTGTTGGATGTGAATTTAATTCAATGATGCAGGATGACTAATTTTGTGATTATTGTATATTGCAATGGTCAAATATTTTTAAGTAATGATTGTAACATTTTCGTTTTTGTTAAACAATTAATTTATTAATATAGTTCTAAGTTAAAATATAGTTCTTAATTTTTTTTGGGAGGTATAGTTTTAAGAAAATTTTGGTAATTTTTAATTTTGAATTTTTTAAGTTTCAAAAAGTGTCAATTTGTATTGGTTAAAATTGCTGTATAAAGTTAAAAATAATATTTTATTTTAAAAATAATAATAATAATAAAAATTATAAAAAATTTATATTTTATTTATAAATATTATTTGGAATATAAAAATAATTTTTTTTTGTAATTAATGAGTATTTTTGGATTTTCTGATTAATTTTAAGTAAATTAGTTATATGCTCAAGCAGAAATTGCATGTAAAAATTTTGGATACCAACTAAAGGATCAATAGTGTCAAAAATTATTTTATAATTATGTTTAATATATTTCATGATTATTTTTAAATTTTCAATTTTTATCTAATTGTTTCAATTAATTACAAAAAAATTAGTAAAAATTCTAATATTATATTATTATTTTCACTATTTAAGATAAGGATTAGTCTCTAAAGCTTCCCACTTCTTCCCTTCACTTCTGTAAGCCCATTTTCTTTCTCCCAAGGAACTTTGATCATCTTTGGTCTTAATCCCTTAAATTTCCAAGTAAGTTCATTAAATTTTTTTAATATTCCACCTATTTTTATCATTTTGAACACTTTGAACCGATTAATTTTTTTTCCCTCTTTTTGGGTGCTGGAACAGTGGCATGAGGGTGAGATTTTGTCCAAAAAATTTGTTTCTAAATTATGTTTTAATTAACTTAATCCTTCTATGTTTTATAATAAATAATTTTGGTGCTTTTTGTTTTGTTAAAAATGCATTTGGGGTTCAAACCTTTGGTTTAGAAGTGCTGTCCCAAGAGCATTATGAGCGGAAAATAATTGTTTTTAATCTCCTTTAGGCTTATAGTATTCCATTTACATCATAGAAAATAATTGTAAGACCCGTAAGCCATTTTTTTTTTGCAAAAATTAGAAAATGATAATTTCAACTTACTAGTAGAGGGTTGGGTGATTAATGCATCTTAACATTGATTATGATTATGTGTGATTATTTGGTTAGGATCATGATTTGAAAAGTGGTGGAAAGAAGACGTTGGTAAGAAAAATCCGTATACACTTTAAGGTAAGGGGAGACATATCTATTTTCAAGGGTGTAGTAGAAAAACGTTGGGAGATTGAGTGTTTTATTCCTTACTATGTATGTATAAATTATTTGAAGAAATTTATAATTATTTCCATACTTAGTGTACAATTGTTTGATATTCTTTTTTGAGATTAATTTTATGTGTGATGATGCTTCTATGATAATTGTTTGTTGAATTCAGTATAAATATATTAAAATAGAGACATCTCAACAATCAAAATTTAATTTTTATTTTATTTTTTTATAATGGCATAATCGTTAATGATACTAATTCTAAATTCTAAAATAGCAAAGAAATCAAACATATATAAATAACTAATATCATTAATTAATTTGAAAACTCTACTTTTCTAAAATATTAAATTCATTAATCAATATTATAGGAATAGATTCTCACTTCTTATAATCTAAGATTCTATATTATCTAATATATTATGACTCTAAGTAATATTTCTTTTATTAATTTTCATATCTAAAAACAATATAAAAATATTCAAATATTATTTTTAAAGAATATTAATGCTTATTTTTAAATATTTTTACACTCTCAACGAAAATTAATAAATTTATTAAAATAAATTATTTTTTTATAACAATGAAAATAACATAAAATAATTATAATATAAATTTGTATGTAAAAAGAAAAAAAATAATTATAATGATCTAAGATGACGTTTTGATACTTAATTTTTGATTATAATAAATATTTAATAATAAAATTTTTTAATAGACAATCACAAAATAAAATATGACATAAATTAAATTTATGTTTAAAAATATTAAGGGATGTAATTTTTTTTTTTGCTAATGGATATAACTGTATTTTTATATTATAAAAAAATTTCTGTTCCTATGAAAAACTAAAAATTTACACTCCTCTCCTTAGGGTATTTTTTTTGAAAAACTTAATTAAATAATAATTTTAAAAATATTTTAAAATTTTGCTATAGTAAACATGAAAAATTAACATTTCTAACTTAAAATTTTTAAAAAACTTAAAAGAATTTCGTACCATACATGATACATCCTTTAAAGTTACTGTAAATAAGAATTTTTTAAGAAATAATATTTCCTTTTTTATTATGTCGTAGGATTTCTTTTATATTAAATATTTATTTTTTGAATTTAATCTTAAATTAAAATTTAATATTTTTAATATAATAATAAATTTAATAATTAAATTATATTATTTAAATTTTAAAATAATTGTATAACATAAGCAAGCAACTCCTATATATAATTTGCGAATAATAATTTTAGAACGAGAGTGATTTTGGAAGAATTCTTACAAACGAGTGTTTTTTTAACATATTCTTAAATAAGATTTCTCTACTTTTAAATCGTATAAAGTAGTTTTTTATATCATATTTATTTTATAATTCAATGTTAATTTAAAATTTTGACAATTTATTTAATATAATAATTTTTATTTTTAATAATTATAATATTTTATTTTAAAATATATTAAATATAAAAATAGTCCTGTAATATTTTATAACTATTTATTTAAAATTTTTAATTTATAATATCCGTAGAGTATATAAAAAACTAATTTAATTTAATTTAATTTATTTTTAATAAATACAAAAATCAATTACATAAAAAAACTAACTAAATTATTACTTATAATAAAAACCTGATATAATAAAAAAGCAGGAGATTCAAAAAGCTCGCGGTTAATTTTAAAATTGAATTGAAGCATTTGGTTAAAAGAATATATAAGAAGTTAAAATGTTGAGAAAGTCATAATTGTAATTAGAAAGGGCCCTATATCTAAGGCGAGCAAGATCCGGTTCGAGGGAGAGCCGAACGCTGTTTACTGTAAGCAGCTGATAGAAGATTGTGGAAGAAGCTTTTCCCTTTTGAGATTATTATCAATAATTTTATTTCTAAGGTTTGTTTGGCTTTAGGGTTTGAGAATCGACACTGGAAAGGCTTTCGCAGGCATGGCTAATCATCACCGTTCTCCGAGTGCTTCCTCTAAGAACGGTCTTCCACCTCAAGAACTCCTTGACGATCTCTGCAGGTCCCTCTCTCTTTCTCTTTTCTCGCTTCTCTGTTAACACCCTTTTCCCTTCTTTTCTTTTTCTTTGACTCTTAAATTGTTCTTAATTTCTGTTTTTCTATCCACATTAGAAACATTTCTGCTGTCACTGTAAATTTGGGTTGTAAGATAATGGCTATCGTAAACTAAGCTTCAAGCAGTAGATGATGGTTTTTTCCTTTGCTGATTTGTAAAATTATTGCTTGCTATACTGCTATGCAACTTTTGAAAGAGAAGGTTCTGCTGGAAAAGAACTATTACATTTTCAGTTTTGCAACTGCCTATTTGTGGATTACTCAAAGGGTAATTCTTTTTGCTAGTGTAACCATTTGTTTTTTTTTTTTTTTCTCTTTTTTCTAATATCAGTCGAGATTTTTGAAATGATTTGACTTACATGTACAGTGTGATATGTTTTTATTATATTCTGTTCTATGTTCTGTGATTCTGTGTCTTCCAATTCTGTAACACACAGAAGTTATTTGCCATTAATACTATTCGCTTGATTTGTGCGTAGAATTGTGTGTTCCTGTGTTTAGTTAGTTTTTCTCACGAAAATCCCTTTCATGTTTTTATATTGCAGCCGATTTGTGCTAAATGTGCCACAGGAAGATCTTCAGTCATTTGAAAGGATCTTGTTTCTTGTGGAGTATGCACATTGGTATTATGAGGATAATTCTGTAGAAAATAATCCATCTCTGAAATCATTAAATCTGAAGGAGTTCACTTCTTTATGTATCCTTACTATATCTTTTCTGTTTTCAGTCCTTTCAGTTTACAGTAGCAAAATATAAGTTTTCACTTTATACCTTTTGACTAATAATTTATGAACAATTCTTTCATAGTTTCATGCACACCATTCTTTCATACTTTTCATTAAACAAGGGAAAATCACATGGCAAACTATGTGAAATGAGAGAATGTGAGCAGAGGACATGGATTATCCATAGTAAATACATTCCTAAAACAACCAAGCCCTTTCCTGCTTTCTAGGTAGGATTAGGTACATGGCACAAAAAGATGTTGACAGGATCCGATCTGCATCAGGAAAACCTTACCTCCTCGCCTTATTATTTTCTTCATAAAATCCTATGCATTGTTGCTTGAGTTCATCAATGAATATTGGGTTTATGCTCAGCTTGTTAACTGTGCTCATGCTTGTGCATGGTGACTCACTGACAAATATTAACGCAATGTGATATTGGAATCATGTTGGTCTCCAATTTCATCTTTTGACCAGGTGAGAGGGGGCTATCCCTTTTATGATTTACTCTTTATTAGACGTTATAAGGCTTAGTTGATTAGGCATTACAAAAAATAAAGCTAGGCATCATGGCAGTTTGTTTTTATTGTGGTAATCTGATAATCTCTCTATCTGCATCAATTTGTATATTAGACACCATTTTCCTTAATGTTTAGCAGTGTTCAATAGTTGTGATGTTTTGAAGCCTTATGTGGCCCATATAGACGATATTTTCAAGGACTTCACTTCCTACAAGGTTCGAGTACCTGTAACAGGGGCAATAATTCTTGATGAAACGTATGAAAGGGTAAGCCAAGAGTAAATGCTCTTAGCTGTACCAATTTTTTTCTTTTGAAGTAAGGCAAATCTGTTTGCGCACCTTGTTTTCTAGTGCTTGGGGCTTACCTCTATGGTATAACTATGGCCCTGAATTAATATTTTTTTTGCTTTAAACTAATTTATGTTACTTTGTTCTCATTTCTTCCTTTGTTTTGATGTTTAGTTACAATAGTTAGTCAGTGTGTATGAATATGAACTATGAAGCACATGGTTAAAGTCTGGTGACTGGTCAATTCCAAATTATTTATGTGCCAAAGATGGCTGTAAGGAGGATGAATGTTGCCGGCTGGTTGCCATTAAAATGATTAGACACTTTCAAATGTAAATTTTGAATAAAAGAATGGTGAAGGTGATAGGTAAGTCCATAGTTAGTTAGAGGTGTAATTAGTGTTTCAGGAGTTAGTGTGTTTTGGATTATCTGAAAAAATAAATTATTCTAATAATTGATTATTATGATAATTGATTATACAAATAAGTTTTAGGATTAATTACAATTTTGGTCCCTCTGGTTTGACACTTGTTTGATTATGGTCCCTCTAGTTTATCATTTGTTTTGACTTTTGTCCCCTAACTTTTAATTACACAATTTTAGTCTCCGTATTATTTTTTTAAATTTTGCATTTATTAACCTGCTATTCAAATTTTAACTAAGTGATGAACTGGTTGTTTATTATATTAAAGTCTCCATTATATTTTGTTGTTAAATATGTTTATGAGTTTATGCGCTATGTATAAAGAAGAAAATTTTGAGAGAAATTCATTAGGGGATCTGAGAGCGATACAAATAAACAAAGGGCATTTGAACATGAAAATTATAGAGCAAAATACTGACTCCACATCAGTGCACATTATCATGGGACAGTATTTCAGCAAGGTTAGTCAAATGATTTCAGATACATCAGTATAATTAACATCTACTTCATTACTCTGTTAAAATTTGAATGACGAGTTAATGGATGCAATTTCTTTGTTCTAAAAATAGGGGAACCAGAATTGCAGAAGTTTCAAAACTAGTGGGACTAAAATTGTGCCATTACAAGTTGAAGGACCAACATTAAACAAGTACCAAACTAAGGGAACCAAAATCTGCAGTAAGAAATTGGAGGACTAAAGTTGAATAAGTGTCAAACTAAAAGGACCAAAATTGCAATTAAGCCTAAGTTTTATGTTTGGATGTGTTAAGCAAAAATTAATTTTAAAAAATAATCTATTCTGTTTGGATTGAATAAAAGAATAACTATTTTCAGGGTAAAATTAGAAAAGGATATGAAGTTATGTGTAATAGTTAGTTTTGTATTTAAAATAATTAATAATTAAGGATAATAAATTGATAAATAAATTAAAAAAAGTTAATATTTTTAATAATAAGCTTCAAAATTTTTCTTATCTAAAATAAGTTGTTTCCTTAATAAAAAAGTAATCAAAGATTATAAGAGCTGATTTTCTAAAAGTTACCAAACAAGATTGACAAGTATTTGTTTTCAAAATAATCAACCAAAATAATTCAATTCAAACACACAGCTAGCTAGTTTTTTATATTTGTGTTTTGCTTGGCTGGGACCTGGGACAGAGAAGAATTCTGGAAGATTACTTAAAAATAAGAGGACAGGTTGAGAGAGGGGGGATCTTATTAATTGAGAGGAGATTGGGGCCTTTTGACATTGGGAGAGAACTAGGTTTCTTTAATACCTGAACTGTACTGGAGTTTCTTATTTTAAGGAGTCTTTTTTCAATATCTGAACCAGTTTCTATGAGAAGGAGGGCAAAAGCCATAACCTTTTCTAAATCATAAGGAAGCAAAGTAATTTAGGACCCTACTGCTTAGGGGAGATGAAGTAGTTCTTTCCATGATCCCATCATATTGTACATGCAGTCAATTCTTAACCAGTAGCATGGTTGCTAAAGCTTTATTTAGTGAAATAATCGCTTATTTTTTGAGAGCTCTTTCTGCAAGCTAAAATGAATGAAAGATTAATTTACTAAAATAAGCAAAACCAGATATACATTTGGTTTCATTACTCAACTTGATTAGCTTATTTGGAAAACAGGATATCAGCTAGAGATATAACAGGGCCATCTAAAGGCAAACACTTATCCTAATCGGCATATAATATTTAAAATAAAATTTTACTCCCTTCTAGAAGTTGCTGTTGGAATTAGTCCTTAAAAGATTTTGTAAGCTTTAGTCCCAAGAGAAATTAAGCGATTAAAAAATTAATTCTTGGTTTTAATCTATGTTTATTTATTATTGAGTTAGCTAACAGAATTTCAATTTTGTAGTGTCACATGTGAAGCATTCATTATACCCTTATTCTCATCAACATAAGAATTTTTTTTAAAATTATGTTTCTTATTTATTCTCATTTACTTTAATCTAAAGACAAAGACCTTTAGACGGGCAAGATATAAAATGATAGTATATGTGAGAATATTGGAGTAGCACTTATAGTAGAAAAGATGACTAAAAACCGGTTAAGGTGGTTTGGTTACGTATAGAGAAGACTATTGGATGCACTAGTGAGAAAATTGGATGACATGACTTTTAGTATGGTAAAAAATGATAGAGGGAGATCCAAAAAAATCTTAGCGAGAGAAAGTTATTAAAAGAGACCTTTAGATTAATAATATTTTTGAAAATTTGGGTTTTGACTTGAACTCAATGTCATTGTGTGATCTATGTAGTCATCCTTACCTAGTGGGATAAGGCTTGATTGTTGTTATAAAGAAAAACCAATTTTTATCTGCTTACTTTATTAGGGTCTGAATTCTACAAACCTATTTTGGAGACTAATTCCTAATGCAACAACTTTCATAGGGACTAAATTTATTTAAGCTTTTATTTTAAAATATTTTTAAATACTTTGTATTGATGAGGATAAAGTTCTATCATATGTTTGTCATATGATAGCACTGAGTTGAAGCTTTGTTAGTCAACCTAATACTTGTTCAATTTGTTAGAGACTAGATCTTGACAAAAAATTTTTAGGGACTAAACCAAATAGCTTCTTAACTTCAAATTTTAAATTATCAACTTTGGTGTGTTTAGTTACGCACAATGTTGTCAAGATCGGGATTTTACCTAGGATTGGGAGGGGATCAAAAATCATAAATCTTGGGATTGTAAAATAGATCGTAAGATCCTACTAAACATGTAAAATTATACTTAAAACATATATATATATATATATATATATATATATATATATATATAAAATATACATAAGGAAATTAACATCTAAATCACATAATTTAATTAAATATAACTTAAAAGACATAGATTTTAGATCTAATACAACACATAATTAGTCAAACTAGTACTAATCTATTACAATAAATTTTGCAAACTCCAATCAGGATAATCATCTTCTAAATAGTTATCTTTATCAATATCATCCACATTAGCCTCATCATTATCATCAGCATGTGGAAGGTTCAAATCATCCATAGGTGTACTTGCACTATCAACACTACTACTTGTTTCTTTATCTTGAATTAAATTCTCATCTAAATTCATATTTGATATTAGCTCATTCTCCTCCTCTACAATCCAATTATCATTTCAAAGTTAGGCTCTTTTCTCCTCTTGATACTATTGCCTAATTTTGAGTTTGTCATGACAAATACAACATCATTTATCATTTTTTGCTTTAAATGATTTTTTGTTGTTGGTGTGAACCTAAATATCAACAATATTAACTAATAATTTAACACAATAATTAAAGTAGTCCACTTGGTAGTTTTAAGAAATAACTTACTATTTTAAAAGCACTCTAATTACGCTCATAACCAAATGAGTTACATGTCAAGTTCAATACATGAATGACAAATCTTTGTAACTCTTGATGTTTTCCAAAATAAGATTCTCACCATTGTGCTGGAATTTTCACTTTCATTCTAGTAATTACTAATTTTGTATCACAATATCTTTTTTTCGCTTTAAAATACTTTAGTTGACCATTGATCTTATTCACTTCATCCATGTTTTTTACCATTCTTTCTAACCACTCATATAATCAACGTTTAACTTCAAAATCCGAAGTATAATGCAAAATTGGGTTATGGTAGTAGCCTACAGCACGTAAAGGTCTATGCAATTGGTTGTCTCATCTTTCATCAATTATCTCCCATAGTGATATGAAATTAGAGATTAAAGAATGAAAAACAAAAAAGAGTTTTTAAAAACAAAAAAGAGTTTTTAAACCAAAGCTATAAATTATCAAAATAAAATAGTCTAATATACCAATTTTTAACATCATTGAAGTTGGTTTGAATTTTTTCCTTGGCTCGATTCATTTCCTCATAAATGAAACCTATGGTTGGCTTGTCTTTTGAATCCACCAGATGCAACACTCTAATTAAGGGATAAACACCTTTTAAACAATTTAGAATATCTTTGTAAAACTTTTTATTTATGACTAGATTTTCTACAACCATTCTATCTTTCGTTTTGCCAAACTTACTATCCTTTCATTCTTTGGATGTAAACATTCTCAAAAATGATCTTTTATTATCATTCAAGCATTCTAAAGTTAAGTAAGAAGTTGCAAAACATGTAGTTTTACGTTTAATTAAATCTATACTTTGAGTAAAGCTATGCAACAAAGATATAAGACCAGTTCTAGAATAGATGTAAGTTGTGACTTTTTTCCTGTTTGCAATAGTTTCTTTATGTAATGATATCTTTTTCTCAAAATCCTTCAACATAAAATCAATGCAATGTGCAGCATAAAGTGTCTAATAAAGCCTTTTCCTCTTCTCCATCAACATTTCTCCTGTTGTCTTATAATTTGCAGTATTATTTGTTACAATTTGTACTACATTTGCTTCTCCAACAATATCATCTATCATCTTAAAAATTGTTTGCTGTTTTGCATATGTTAGATGCATCAATAGACTTAAAAAATACAGTTCTTGTAAGATTATTTACCAAAAAATTAAGTATAGTCCTCTTTTTGTCGATTCATCCATCAGTCATTATGGTGCATCCAGTTTTTTCCATGTAGCTTTGTGCTTTTCTAAAATGTTGTTGGTCTTCTCAACTTTTTGCTTTAAATATTTTATCCGAATCTCATGGTAGGAATAGGATGGTGGCTTAAATCCAATACCATATCGAGCAATCCACTCACATATCTTTTTAAATTCTTCACTTTTCACAATATTGAAAGAAATTGTATTATTGTAAAAAAATGAAGTAATTTCTAAACATGCATCTTCTCTCAAACCTTGCTTAAAAATTGAATTAATAGTAGATTGGGTGGTCACTCTTCTTTTCTTAAAAAGAGTTGTTGGACTCTCAACATTATCTTGTATTTTTCTTTTGCCCACATTTTCAAATTCATCAACATCACCTTCTTTTCCCTTTTCTTCAAGCTCTTGCTGTGTGTGTGTTTTTTTTTTTAATGAATTTTTCTTGCAATTTAACAACAATGTCCCACATTTGTTTTCGAACATCATCAGGGACCGCCATACAAGTTCTAACATTTTGCTTTATTCCTGCTAAATGATGTTTGAAACAATAAACTCCTCTAATATATTTCTTTCTCACAATTTTGCATTTGATTCTTTTAACATCTCCAAAAACAGAAATGCCATGGTTCCACGCTACATCATTTCTTGTTCCATCGATATTGTTTAATTTTGATCTTAAACTTCCATTTCCACCAACAATACTACTCCTTACAGCTCCACTTGATTGAATCCCCTCCTTTTCCATAGCCACTAACTTCCTAATATTATCTGCCATGCAGCAATGAAAGAGTAAAAACATAGGGGAAATGAAGAACCGAGACCCATGCAGATCCACCCGCACATAACTGAGACAGACACCCCCACATAGAACCACCCACACCCATGGAGAATTGTGAAACAGAGCAGCGAACCATAATAGCAAACCAGAACAGCAAACACCAACCAGACCAGCCTGAAACACACATTGTAAAAGTTGCAAAATCAGAATCCAAACAGAGAGAAGATGAGAGATTGCGTGTTGTCCAATGGTTGCACGAGAAGCACGGTTCACAATAGAGAAGATATGAGAATGGGTGTCGCACAGAAGAGAGAAGATGAGAGAATGGAAAAAAATTGGGGAAAAAATTACCCTAGAACTGTTTTTAAAAACTGGGTCACAAAAACCCGACCTAGAAACCCAACCTGCAAAAGCCCAACCTAGAAATCCAAGTCCAGAAACTGACCCAGAAACTCGCGCCCATGATCGGATCTGATCGGATCGCCGATCCTACGGTCCTAAGAGAGAAGATTGGGATCTCATTCGATCTTACAGATTTACGATCCCAAATCCGATCAAGATTGCAAGGGAGGTTTCAGATCGTAAAATCGTACAATCTTGCGATTTTAATCATGATTTTAACATTAGTTACACAGCTTAATTATGGTTTTATTCAATAAGCTATGTTTACATAAGGGTTTATGTCATAAATTTGGCCATAAATTTTATTGGAATAAGTTCAAATGGACTTATTTTGATATGTTATACTAAGAAACTTGTTTAAATAAGCCAAAAGAGCTTATGAAGTCAAGTTATATAAGTTGCCTGTAAACTCTTTCAAATGCTCATTTTTCTAAAAGGGGATGTTTCATGTTCAAGCTTATGTATATTACAATTTGACATCAAATTCTCTAGTTTTGAGCAAGTAGTTGTCCAGTGCTTCTCCTTGGGACTTAAAATATTTCTTTGAGTTGTTTATTGCTATGTTGATCCATATTTATTTACATGCCTGCTGTTGACAGTGCATACTAGTGAAGGGATGGAAAGGTTCGAGTTGGAGCTTCCCACGTGGCAAAAAGAGCAAAGATGAAGAAGATCATGCATGTGCCATTAGAGAAGTATGCATGCTTCTTTAGAGCTTCACTTTCTTAATCTTGTCATGAATAACACTTTTTCTATGTGCTTTTGGACTGTACGCCTTGGAAAGATAAATACCTACACACAAAATTGATATTGATTGAAATATCTAGGTAATATGAATTAGCTGATTCTTATCTTACTAGGAGTCTTGACTTAGTTTTTTTCCCTGCTTTTGTTTGTGGTGAATGCAGGTCATGGAAGAAACAGGTTTTGATGTTTCAAAACTTCTTAGCAAGGATGAATACCTGGAAGTTATTTTTGGACAACAGAGAGTGAGGCTTTACATTATTGCTGGTGTGAAAGATGACACATCATTTGCTCCACTTACCAAAAAGGAAATCAGTGTATGTAATTCTTTTTATGATGTTTTTATTTAATATTCCTATCATCATACTCCTGTTATTACCATTGAAGTTATGATAGGTTCAGGAGAGTGTACAATTGAAAGAAGTGGAAGGGAATAGGCAGGAAACCCACTAACTAACCAATTTTGGTGGTTATGACAGCTATAATTTTGTATTAGTTACTGTTATAAATAGTCATATATGATGGATTAGTGGAGTTATGTTCTTGTCATAGGTAATTGGGAAGACTTGGATAGTGGAATTCTCTTGAATAACCACCGGTGGTAATCAATTGTAATTCTTTCACCTAATTCTAAATCACTACCGCCCTGGAACTGATTCAGGAATTTGGGTTTTGTCAATAAAATCAGAAGTTTCTTTTGGTATTTTTACAAGTTCTATTAAGTTATCTTTAATAATTACAGAACTCTATTATCTTATGTAGTAGTTTAGGGTCAAATAAGAAATTAAATAGAGTGGAGAGAAGTTGTAAAATCATGATTTTAACTCAATTTCGAAAATAGAGAAACAGAAAGAAAAACAGAGGTTTCAAGTGCTAAGAAAGCAACATATAAAACCAATCTATCTGCATATTTCAAGTGAAATGGAAACACCCCAAAGCAGCCCCAAGCAAGTTGAACACCACTAGACCAAAATGTAGCTATTCTGCTCCAGCCTGATAGATATTGTAGAGAATTGCCAAATTTTGTGTTGTGTCAATTTTGAGTTTCAAGGTTGGAACGGAAAGGGGGCTTGGGTCGTAGGAGGATCAGTGGATTGTAATACAACTCTTAAGAGTCAACCAAAATGCTGAATTTTATTTAAATACATATTTATTTGAATAAAAATAGCATAGATAAAGAAACCCTTAAATCACACCAAACATGTAACAAACATAAAAGATTCATAAGGTCTTAAACAACTCAAAAGTCACAAGTTTTTGACTAAACAAAAGCAACACATAATATAACTAAAACATAAAAGAAAATAGGCAAACACTCCAACTATAAACAACTAACAAATCATTTAAGTTCCAATCACAATAATCCTTTTTCTTGTTGTCTTCATTTTTGTCATCTTCCATAACATCTCCCACCTTCAACGATCTCAAGCTCATCTAAATTAGGAATCTCCAAATCATTCAGAGATGCCAAGCCCAAATAATCATCTGCATTGATCCAAATCCATGTCCAAATATGAATTTTTTAGCATTCTCCACTATCCAATCATCATCAAAAGAAAGATCTTCCTCATCATACTCATTTGCTTTACTTGTTTCTTCTTGTCAATTTAGAATTGGTCATCACAAAGACAATATCATTCATTGTCTTTTGCTTCAAACGGTTTACTGTTTATTCTTTATGTGTGGATTTAAATAAAAACTAAATCAATTAAACACCTAATAAGGGTTCTAAGTTTAAGGATAAAATACCTTGTGAATCTAAATATTTATTATCTTAAATACATTCCAATTAGTCAGTAATGCTGCACCAGTATTGTCAAAATCACGTGTTGCATTGGTGTGTTTTCCTTGCTGAAGTGGCTTGGAGTGTCACGTTGAAGCAGCATCTCCAAATGTGTTAAACTTGTGTTTGAAGCAGGTCGTGTTGTGGACCTAACTTTTTAAAATAACCCTATCTTTTTAGGTCTTTTCAACTAACTATGCTTTTCTCAAATTGTTTACGTGTTTTTACTGTGTTGGAATTATTTAATTATAGTAATCCTGTAAATAGAGAAATTAATATCTTTGTAATTACTGTAACTACGTAACTCTATATTCTTATGATCCCTACTTTAGATATATGTTCTATTGTGTAGTTAAAAGACATGGATTCATCCTCTGTTTCTTGTTTTTTTTTTTTTTTTTTTTTTTTTTTCTCAACATGATATTTAGAGCCTAATGTAGGATAACCCTAATCCATGATTACCCTGTGGGCCCACTGCTTGTTGATACAATTTTTTCCCAAAAATTGTTCGTATTCATAGTTTTTGACAGTTTTTGGCTGTTTGGACATTGAACCGCTGTGCATACTGTTCTGGCTACATTTTAGAGACATTTTTTTTTTCCTGGCGACCACCCTTAGATCTGGTTTGTCATGCTCAGTTCAGGCTGTCCCTGAAGTTTTGGGCCAACCAAAGGTCCCATGTGTGCCTTCTCTTCGGTTATCTCTCCTTGCTGCACCACTGTCAGTGTGCAATGTATTTGGCACTGTTTCTGGCCACCGTAGGCTGTTGTACTCTGATTTATCCTTTATTCTTTGCCCAGGTTGTGGATTCCTTTTTTCTTTTTGCATTTCTTGCCCTTGTATGTTTCACACTGGCCCATGGCTGCCTCTACCCCTTTGAAAGCATACATTCCTATTTTCAGCAACTATGTGACTGCCCCTTTTCATTGGAAAAGCTGGATGGGAGTAATTACGCCATATGGGCTTTCGACGTCAAACTTTGGCTCGAAGGTCAAGGTTATGTTGATCATCTCAATACTAAGGATGACTCCATGGATGCAATTGAACAACCTAAATGGAATAAAATTGATGCTCCGCTTTGTAGCGTCATTAAATCTACTATTTATCCTTCTATGAAGCAAATTTTTTGCCCTCATGAGATGTGAGTCTGTTTGGATTCAGGCTAAAGACTTGTGTATACCAATGACACTGAGTGCCTTTATGGGGTTTGTCAAAATCTTATGAATGTTTTTGCTCCTCAATGATTTGATGGCTCCACTACTGGATATTTGGGTCAAGTGACCCACATTTTCCTTGACTTGAATGAAGTCTTGCCGCTTGCTACTCAACAAGTAAGGATTGTGAAAATGGTCTACAACTTTTTATGTTACTTGCTTTGTATGGTTTGCTTGCAGAGTATTCTGTTATTTGCGATCAAATTTTAGGGTCGCCTACTATACCCACTATAGATTTTGCATGGTCTACCTTGTTATTGATACCAGCTAAAGCCCCATCTATTTCTATAAATGTATCTTTTGCTTCTACTTTGTCAAACTCCTTTGCCTTAGTCTTACAAAGTAGTGATTGTACTCATTCTCGCAAACCAAACAAATCTCGTTCTCGCTTTAAGTGTGACCAATGTTACAAGGAGGGCCACACAATTGACTAGTGTTTTGCCTTGCCTTATGGTTGCCCTCTAAGAGCAACGAATGTTGTCCAATCCACACCTTTTGACCTTGCACCTTCGACTGGACCACCAACACTTGTTCCTTCATTGTTACAGTGAATTTCTTCGATGGTTGGAGGAGTGTGAGGCCTCTAGTTCCATTGCCTTTGTTGTGCATGCGGGTAATTCTTTTGTTGATGTTTCTCACTCTTCCTTCCTTAGCCCATGGGTCTTTGATTCTGGGGCTACTGACCACATTACTAGTAATAAATCTATTTTATTGTCACTATTTTTACAATTGATTATTTATTCTCTGTCACAATGGCTAATGGGTCCCAAACACAATCTTAGGGTATTGGTACTGTCTATCATTATCTATCCCTCTCTATTGATTATGTTCTTTATGTTTCTATTTTTAACTCACTATCCATTAGTCGTCTCACTTGTTTCCTTGATTATATCATCTTTCACTAAAAATTTTGTTTTCCTTGATCGACACCTGATGTGAGTCTCATGTCCTGTACTAGTTAAATACTTTTGCTCATGACTCATGTTGGTTTGGCAGTTGATTTTCCTTCTCATTCATGCTCAGTTAGGACATATCAGTTTAACCAAGTTACAACAACCAGTACCAAGACTTTCCAAGTTATTTACTATGTCCTATGAGTTGTGTCATTTAAAAAAACATACTTGTGGTTCTTTTAGTAGTCGTATCCATCATCGTTCTACTTTTCCTTTTTCTTTAATTTACACTGATGTGTGGAGTCCAAGTTGTATTGTAGTTACTTTAGCATCAAAATATTTTGTTACCTTTATTAATTATTATTCTAGATGTACTTGGTTAATGAAAGATCATTTTGAGTTATTTTCTATTTTTAAAACTTTCTTTTTTGAAATTAAAACTTCATTTGTTGTTCTAATTCGTACTTTACAAAGTGATAACGCTTGTGAATAGTTATCTAATCAATTTCAAAATTTTATGGCTTCTTAACGTATCCTTCATTAGACCTCTTGTGCTTGTAGTCTACGACAAAATGGGTTGTTGAACAAGAAAAATAGACATCTTATTGAAGTTGCTTGTACTCTATTGTGTCATAGTCAAGTTCCTCATCATTTTTAGAGTGATGTTCTTACTGCATGTTACTTTATTAATAGAATGCCATCCTCCGTTCTTTCTGCTAATGTTACTTTATTTGAATCTGTTCCTTTGGTTATATCTAGTCCTCCTGTTTCAGTCTCTGAGTCTACTTCTTCCCCCCTCTAGTTTAACTATCTTACACCAGAACCATCTTATGCTTTTGCAGAACCATTCTTTGTGTTCTCTGCAGGTGTTTTACAGTTGCCAGCCTCTCTTTGTATTGCCAATGTTCGATGGACCTAATTTTGACTTGCTTCCAGTGCCATTCATCCTCTCTCTTCCGAGCTTGCTTGCTGAAACTGAACTTCCCATTGCTCTTTATAAATATATATGCTTTATTCATAATCTCTTTCCTCATTATATTTTTTTGACTTACTATCGTTTGTTCTTTTCCCATTATACTTGTTTGTCTTCCTTGTCCTCTGTTTCTATTCCTTAGTCTACAGGTGATGCTCTCTCTCATCTTGGTTGGAAACAAGCAAGGGTGGATGAAATGTGTGCTATTTAGAATAATGGTACTTTAGAACTTGTTCCTCTTCCTCCTAGGAAGTCTCTTGTTGGTTGTAGGTGGATCTATATGGTCAACGGTGGTGTTGACGGTAAGATTGATCGCCTTACTACTCATTTGGTGTCCAAAGGTTATACATAGATATTTGGCTTGGACTATGGTGACACTTTCTCTCCTATAGCCAAAATGACATCTGTTCAGTTACTCATATCTATGGTTGTCATCTGTCATTGAACTCTTTTTCAACTTGATATCAAGAATGCTTTCTTATATCTTTTCAAAAAAAACTATGCTTTTCGCAAATTGTTTACATGTTTCTACCGTATCCCCTAACATTCTCCTTTGAAAATATAATTCTTTGGGTTTGTGGGTTGTGGTTTTGTGCCTGTCTCTCTGCGTTTTGTGTTCTGCTTCTGTGTTGTTGCTGCTTCATCCTTCTTTGGTTTTGCCCCTCTGCTTTTTCTGTCAGTGTTGCATTCCTTCGTCACTCTTCATGTTGTATTTTCCTTTGTGTTGTGTGCTCTATTGCTGCGTCCCTTTCCTATTGCTGTGTACTCTATTTTTTGTTTTCCAAAGATGGCAACAACTGGTAACAATAGTATTGCTGGCAGCGTTAATGAGGTTAGTTTGAGTGGGTCTGGTGGCAGTGGGAAAATACTGAAATGTACTCTTGCCTATGGGTGATGTGGGGTGGAAACGTGTTTCAATTAGTGTTAAAAAACGGTTATGATGGCACCATGACAGGTAATGATGGCATTTTTCTACCAAACTGCCATGACCATGGTGAAAAATTGCGGTTTTCAGTAGTGGCCCGATGATGGCTATTAGGCGCTTGGCGGTAACGGCAGCCAGGGCAGAAATGGCGTTCTTGACAGGAGAAACTGAGTTGGGCTATGGACCAACCCAGTCCAAAGAGAAAACCTGCGAGCCCAAACCTCAAATCACGCATCTCTTCTTTCTCTCTGTTCTTTGTCTCACATCTTTGAAAGGGAGTGTAAGTCTGATCTAGCCCTTGCTACAGTGTTGTTTAGGGCTTTTTTTAAGGGCAAAATGGACTTTTGCCTGCTTAAATTTTTTCCTCTCTTTTCAAGCAAGCGGTATGTACGCATGTTCTCTCTCGCACTTTTTTCTTCCTTCTCAAAAGCCTTCATCTCCTTTTTCACTATTTTTGCTGGAGAAGACATCCATTCCAGCTGTTTTTCAGCAACTGAGTGGAGGGCCCTGTTTTTTGGCATCTATTTTCCATTTTGCTTCTCTGGGCTCTGTTTTTCTGCTCCATTTAATTTTTCCCTCTCCCATTCTGTTTTTCTCCCCCATTTTTTTCGTTTTTCCTTGTTATTCTGTTTTATTGATTCTATTTTTCTCTTTTCACTTCCAAGCTTCTTCTCTATTTTTATTTTTAATTCTCTGTTTTTCTGTTATAACTTCAGCTTCTATTCTCTATTTTACAATCATTTTATTCTTTTTCTCTCAAAACTTCCTTTCTTTAATATGTAGTTATTTTTTTCAGTTTTGTATCACATTTTGCTATATATATATATATATATATATATATATATATATACAAAAAATTTTATTATGATCGCCATGCTTCAGCCACTGATAACATTGGTTTCAGTTCATGTGAGTATAAGAAAAATTAAGTACAAATATTGTGAGGTGTTCAATGGTGGGATTTATAGGTTAAAGCACCATTTGACTAGAACACAAAAGGTGGTTGGAGCCTGCACATAAGTTTGATGAAATTCCAAAGGAAATGTGGGCAATTTTATCCTCATTGCAAGAATGTTTGTTAAAGAAGTGCAAGAAAGTTTGATAAAGAAGTCAAACGGGTATGAAGGAAGAGTGAGTGATGCTGATGTTGAGCAAGTGGAGGAGAAAAAAGAAGGCTAGAGGAAACTCCAACAAGGTAGTAGTGATGTGAGGCTAGGATTGCGTTATCAATTTTCACTTTTCAGAAACAGAGATATCAAATAGAGTTGTTATGTACATTCTATATAATGCTTTGTTATTTCATCCTTTTTGGTGTGGGTGGGCAAGTGTTGCCAGTAATTTGAATCTTTGTTACTGAAATTTGGATCTGTATAGTTTGTTCCTTGCACCTCTAATTGAAAGTGTTGTTGCCAAGAATTTTCAAGTTGATTGTATTTCTTTGTTTTAAGTCAAAGTCATGATAAAATTGTTTTTGATTGACAACTGTTGGTGATAAGTATTAAGAATGCTGAGAAATTTTTATCTGTGCAGGAAATTGCATGGCACCGGCTTGATGAACTTCAACCAGCAAGTGATGAAGTGATATCTCGTGGGATCACTGGTCTTAAGCTTTATATGGTGGCCCCTTTTCTGGCGTGAGTACAACTGGATATGATTTTGATAGTTTTTGTGAATGTTCCATGGTTTGTTGAAATTAAAAAGGATTGACTACTTTAATGCAGATCTTTGAAATCGTGGATTTCTTCACACCAACCTGCTATGGCTCCAAGGCCTGATTTGCCTCTTAAAGGTAAGTTCTATTTTACCCAATTTCTTGTTGGTTACAAGCATCATTGATGTTTTTGTTTAACTGCCGAGGTCATAGGGTTGAAGTTCAGTTACTTATCTCTTGGCTGTTTTTGGACATGAGTTTATTCAGAGTTTAGGGTTTAAGGTTGAGAATGGAGAAGTGAAATGTTAGTATTGGATTTAGTTAGCTACGATATTTTGCAGATTGCTTTGCTACTACAGCTTGGAATAATGTTTGAAATTTAGTACTGCAAAGCATTCTTATTTCGATCCTTGTAGATTTTCCAAACTGTACATTCTTAAATTTGTAATGATTTGCTAACAATCCCTTACTTTTGTTAAGGAATTTCCGTATGGAAGGCAAAACACAGTTCTACCGGAAGTAGCTCCATAGTGGTGGACAGCCAGTCAACAAAACCCGAATCTGATTCTCATATTATTGATGTGGGACCTGGCAGGAGCTTTAGGAATTTCAAATTTGATACTGCCTCAATTATACAAGCAATGGAAGCTTCCTTTTCTTGAAAGTTCAGCAACCATCCTGTAAAGTTTCCCATGATTGAATCAATTCCCCCCCCCGTCTCATTCGTATGTCAAAGTTAGTAGTATTCTTTCTCCATTCTAATTAGGTTGCTGTACATGATGTTTCTCAAGTCGTGTGGTTGAGTAAAATGTACACTATGTACAGGAAGTATTTGTACCTAAATAGTACTCAGTTAGTGTGCTATCATCTGTAGAAGTCCAATGTAAAAGTTACGTTATTCCCCACATCTCATTGAAACTGATCTGAACGGTACTTCATGCCAGTTGTGGAAGTGGTCGATAGATATTACCATCTCAGGTTTCACGTGATTCTGTAAATGTTTTTTAGGTCTTACAATTATTAGTTAAGGAATTAATATATAGTTTTTTTTTTCTTTTTTTGGTTTTAAGTACATTGACAATTACAGTAATAATATATTAGTAATATTTTGATAAATGTCACGATTTTTTTTTATAGAGGATCTGCATTACTATTCTTAATTTAATTATTTACTTATAGGATAATGTACACATAGAAAAGGGAATATAAATCTTCAAAATTTGAACTTTAACATCTCAATCAATAGGATAGCAATGTTCTGAAGATAATTTCATATAGCTCAAAAGTTTACATAAATATATTTTTATACAATAGTTGTTTTGTGAAAAGTTCAAGATACAAGTTTTTGAATAATAATAGTTACATCATTGAAAACTAGAATTAAATAGTTTAGATTGATTATTTAGATCTAAACTAACAAAATAAAGTTATAATCTTTACAAATCTTTTAATTTCATGTCTTTTTCAGTCAGACTTTTCAGCATGAGAAATAGTTATAGTATCTATCACATTTGTTCACGTATCATAATACGATTATTATAAGACATACTAACATAGACAAAATAGCAAAGGTGAGTTTACTAAATAACAATCATGGTTATATTAGAAAGATGTGAATATAATTGTTCATATAATCATTATTTAGCAATTCTTTAACACCTTACTCAGCAGTATAACCCTTTTATTAACTCATTGAGTGCCAACAATTTCGATGATGATAACCATAATAACAATATCAACATCAATAATAACAACTCAGCTCCATTGGCATTAAAATATTAGTAAGTCTAGAAGAAACTTATAGCTCAGTGCTTTGCTTACCATTCGACATATTTGCCTACTGCTCGACGTGTGTGCCTACAACATTTCCATATAATTTCAACACCATCATAAAATAAACATTTAAATACATCATTCATGATGAAACATAATACATATATTATACTATAGAATGAAACAACATAAAATTTCATCATATACACATCATGTAACATCCCAATTTTTTTTTTGTGTTTATTATTGGCTTAGATATTCTCACCAATACTTAAGAAAATTTTAACGTGCTTACAATAAGTTCATATATATGCATATATTGTGAACTTCATCTTTACTTTTTTCATTCTTAACTTCGGTTTATATATATATATATATATATATATATATATATATATATATATCTGTGCGTGTGTGTGTGTGTGGGAATTGTAAGTAGAATTTTTTTTTATTTTCTTTTTCTTGTACCATGCATGCAGTAAAATATAGTGGTGTGGTTATTGGAGTTCCATGTACACCCACTCCACTTACCAAACATTGAACTGAAACTTTGACAAACCGTTTGCCTCCTTATTTGTCTATGACGAGTTGCAACATAAGAAACTCCTAATTCATTTCCGAATTGCATGAAAAAGGAATGCAGTGGCAATTTCCAGAAGTAACATGTGTACTCCCCACTCACATTAATACTCAATTTATAGAATAGCATGGCTAGAGTACATATGTAGATTTTAGGAAGACTGGGAGAATTTTTAGAATTGATTTGGCGACATAATGACATCTAGATTTCGTATTAAATGGCCATCTTTTCATCCATTGTAACACACCCTCCATCCACTTTGCTGGCTGCTGCAAAACACTCCACTTCAGCACTAGGAGAGATCAAAGCGGCCGAGATTTCAACTCACCATTATGGTGAGAAACTTCCCCTGTTAATCATGCAGAAATTAATGGCTTTTGAAAACATAAGAAAGGGAGAGAGACACCATCTACCAATTTTTCTATCGTAAAAAAAAAAGAAAAAAGAAAGGGAGATGATCTTCAATTTTCTCCATTTTAGCCGCTTAGTCCAGACTTAGGTACCCACTACTCACTACCTCCCTCACTATCTTGCTTCCTGTCCACCATCCATTGAAAAGGAACACTGAGGACCTTATCAAGCAAAATCATATTGTCCCAAAGCCTCTAATCTTTTCATCCCTCACAAGATTTGCCATTACTGAGTAAGGGGGAGTTTGTTGCATTCATAAAATTGTTATAACTTAGTTTGCATGCAGTTGTAAAGTTCTTCTTTCCTTAGTGTGATACCATAAATGATGGTGTATGAGACGTGGAAGTAGAAATAGGGATTTAATAAGAGTTGAACCGCCTTGTCTTACCTTTGCATGTGGTGATTTCGGGACTGACTGTGCTAGACATGAACTGCATCTATTTAATTAAGATTAAGTGCAAATGATATTGATGTAGAATGACTTTTTTTTTCTTTGCATGTGGTAAAGACTGTGCCGAATATGATGTTTTTTGTTATACCTATTGAATAACATTGCTTTTATATTGCACGTGAATATTGTGGATTGAATAGATTGTGTGAAATAATTGTATGACAAAAGAAAAAAATAGTACTCTGAGAATGGTAAAATCAAGGTATAATTAAATAATTTTAGATTGAACGTTGAAAGATAAGGGTTAAGAATGACCAAGGGGATTTCACCAATGGTGCAAAGTAGCTCACTGTGACCGGGTCACGTCATCAACAAACCCTTGCCAAACATGACATGAACATCCGTTACCAGGATCGTAGTAGGCCTATTCCTGAATGATACTTTTGAGGTGTGTGAATTATATATATGTTGTCAAAAAGAAATGTGCTAGATGTGATAGTAGGGAATGGTGTTCTCTGATCGCCTTGAGGTTGAAAAGTGATAGTAAGTGGAAGAACAAATGTGGGATTCCTATACATTGCATAAATATTACTATTAATTAAAGAGAGGACTTCATAATTAACCTACATCATGCATCATTTCATTCATATAATAAACGATCTTGGCACCTTACTCTTGAATGTTCTATATTTATACTTATGTACATCCACATATATGTTTAACGTATAGGACCTATCTGTATAACTTTGTGTGAATTGGCTGAATTACATGGATTCACCCTTTTCTGTTTTTGTTTCTCTCCCTTGTTGTGGTGTTGCTTGTTTGGTATGCTATATATATTGTGTGCAGATGGGATCTGAGATGGTCAAGATGACAATTCTCCTAACAGTGGACGACCTGTGAATATATGATGACACTACCCAGCATACTGTCTACCAAGGGTTTGCCCGCATGACTCTTGATTCATTATCTGAGGCAGGTTGGGAACCTCACTGTACCATGGATCTACCTGTAGAGATTATTTTCCCTCTGCCACTATATGCTACCTTCATACCTTTTCTCCTCATCACCCTTAGGACTGTACCTACCCCTATGGATACTGATGTCCATGTTACTGCACCTCTCCCAGACGTGGCCCTTGATGCTAACGTACCTCGACCTTCATCTCCTCCTCCTGTGGAACCTGAGTACATAGATATTCCAGTCATCGAGTCCACTATCAGACCTCGTCCACCTACTCCACCATGTAGACTTTCTCCCATTAATGAAGCTAGTTCTTCTTACCGCAGTCCCTCTCTCCCTATGCCTTCTCCACTCTCCCTTATACTCCTATCTACTCTTGGTTGGCTGGAAGATGTAGATAAAGACCTGCCAAGTCTACCTTCTGACCCAGATGCTACACTATCCACTTCAGCGGACTCTGACCCTTCAGAGGAATACACTTCTCTGGACTAATGTAGTGTTTTATATGTATACGTATATGTGTTTTCTTTTGTATGATGTGGCTGTTTTGGGAAGGGACATAGGTATGCTAGTCCTTTTACTCTTTTTGCAAACTTATCTTAATGATGTGCCACAGGTATTGCTAATGTTGTAGACTTTCAGTTAACTCTTTAGTTATGTTGTGTTGACGACTATATGTGGTTGTTGAACTTGTCCAAAAAGTAATGTGGAGACATCTTTAAACATTTATATCTTGTGTAATATTACTCATATTTTTACTGTCGGTCCTCTGCCTTTATTAATTATCTAAATCGTGTGTGCTAATTATTATATGCCTATATGTGTGAGAGGTGTTACGATTGAATACCATGTCCTTAGATATACGTTCATTGTACCTGAAATTATGATATTAGGACATCATAACTAAAGTGGTATCAGAAGAGTTTGGTCTATTTGGCTATAGGTGTGGCCTAATTACCCGATTTTGTGCAGCTAAGATAGTTTGAGAACTCTTTTAGCTTGTATAATGGACTGTCCTTTACCTTGCTGTGTCTGACATGAGATATTCTTTTAATTTAACGTATCTACTTTAAATTTCAGAATCTCATGGCTAGGCGACAAAGGGATGATACCATCGATGCCCTATTTGAGAGAATAATGGACTGAATTTCGCAAAAATAAGCCTTCTTAGTTGCATGGTGGATTCAATCCTGATGGTGCCCAACTCTGGATAGAAGAACTAGAGAAGATTTTTGAGGCGATGGCATGCACTGATGAAGAAAAGGTCACGTATATAGTGCGTCAACAATTAGAAGTGGAAACAACCCATATTGGATGGCCAATTTTTTGTCGTTGCTTTTTGGAAAAGTATTTTCCAGAGGACATAAGGAGGAAGAGAGAGAAAGAGTTTCTTAACCTACGACAAGGGAGAATGAGTATCGACGAATATGCTGCAAAGTTCAATGAGCTGTCAAGGTACTGTCTGTATTTCACACAGGCCGATGACAGGTCCTGATGTTCTAAATTTGAAAGCGGGCTTAGACCCGACATCAAGCAAGCTATTAGTTGTCAGCAGGTGACCTATTTTCCAACACTAGTAGACAGATGTTGCAAATTTGAGGATGACACCAAGGTACGTCAAACATCATGGAAAAATACCGGGCCATAGTTTCAAGCAAGTACTTCTAACTTTAGAGGAAAAGAGAGTCAAGAAAGGCATAAGCCTTACTTTAATCCCAGCTGTTTTGGAGGAAACAATTTCTCAGGGAATCAAGGATTCAGTGTGGGAAGCATGAATCGTTCAAGTATTCGATGCCACAATTGTAACGGACCACACCTAAAAAGGATGTGTTCCCGTGATCCTGTGGTGTGCTTTAGGTGCCAACAACGAGGTCATCTCAGTTGTTACTGCCCGCTGAACGGGGGAAGACTTCCTGGAAACAATGGCAGGAACCAAAACCGAAGTGAAGGGAATGAGGATGGTCAAAGCAGTATTGGTAGTCGTAACCTCAATGGATGGCCAAATACGAAAGGTAGGGTGTTTACTATGAATGCTGCGGAGACTACTCAATCAGTTGACTTGATACATGGTAAGTGCTTCATGCACGGAACTCCTTTGAATGTGTTGTATGACTTCGGCGCAACCCACTCTTTTATTTCTGATTCTTGTGTGAAACAATTATATTTGCCCACCTCCCTGATGAAATGTGATATTCTTGTTTCTACTCCTACCAATAGTCCTGTACTTACAAACCACATTTGCTTGGATTGCCCACTCCACATCGACATTCAAGTTTTCCTTGTTAATCTCATATGTTTGCCTCTTTTTGAAATAGATATTATTTTAGGAATGAATTGGCTTTCAGTCAACTAGGTCTTAATAGATTGCCAAAAATAGACTTTAATTTCCAGTCCTCCTAGTGATGGCAGGATCGAGAGTAGAAATCTAGGTGACTCAGAGATCCCAACTGTGGGCAGAACCAAAAGAGATGCTACTCAGATTTTCATGATTGTTGCCTCTGAAAACGACAAGGATGACCCTTCTCTGGACAAGATACCAATTGTTTGTGATTTTTGTGATGTATTTCCATATGATATTCCAGGCTTGCCCCCTGTAAGAGAAATTGAATTCTCTACAGACCTAATGCCTGGCACTGGCCCTATCTCCATGACACCCTACAGAATGTCTCCTATCGAACTTGCTGAATTGAAGAAACAATTAGAAGGGTGACAAATACTCCTACAGTATTTATAGATTACATGAATCGTGTTTTCCACACCTACTTGGACGAATTTGTGGTCGTTTTCATAGATGACATCCTTATTTACTCTCGTGACCATGAGGAGCATGTTGAGCACTTGAAGATTGTGTTAGAGACTTTACGTCACAAGCAACTTTATGCTAAATTTACGAAATGCGAGTTTTGTTAGAAAGGGTACAATTTCTAGGGCATGTGATTTCCAAAGATGGTATCGCTGTGGACCCCTCGAAGGTAAAAGCTGTGTTGTAGTGGGAGCCACCCAAAATGGTTATCGAGGTACAAAGTTTGCTAGGACTTGCTGGTTATTATCACCGTTTTATTGAAGGATTCTCGAAGATAGTTGTTCCTTTGCCTGACTCATAAGAACCAACCATTTGAATGGGACCAGAAATGTGCAGCCAGTTTCGGTGAACTGAAGAATAGGTTGACTTCTGTGCCAATCTTGATTTTACCTAACCTTTGTAGGAAATTTGAAGTGTATTGCGATGCTTCTCATCAAGGCTTATGATGTGCATTGATGCTGGAGAGGAAAGTGGTAGCTTATGCATCACGACAGTTGCCACCTCATGAAAGGAATTACCCCACTCATGACTTAGAGTTGGCTGCCATTGTTTTTGCACTTAAAATTTGGAGATATCATCTTTATGGAGCTCACTTTGAAGTCTTTAGCAACCATAAAAGTTTGAAGTACGTCTTTGATGAAAAGAGTTGAATATGCGCCAACGAAGATGGATGGAATTATTGAAAGATTATGACTTTGAGCTACATTATCACCTAGGAAAGGCTAATGTAGTGGCAGATGCTCTCAGTCGGAAAACATTACATGCGTCCTCTCTGATGGTTAAAGAACTAGAACTAATAGAATCCTTTAGAAATCTGAATTTGACTTTTCAAGTCCAAACGAATAGTCTGATACTTGGGATGATCAAGATTTCTAATGAATTTCTAAACCAGGTTCAAATGACCCAGAAACATGATGAATTCCTGAAAGAACAACTCACAAAGTAGTCTAGGAAGGAATCTAACCTCCACTAAGAAAAAGGAGGCCTGGCTAAGTACAAGGGCCAAATTTACATCCCTGCTATGAGTGACTTGAGACGTTTGGTATTAGAAGAGGCTCACAAGAGTAAGCTCAACATCCACCCAGGTGCTACTACTAAGATGTACCAAGACTTAAGGAAGGCCTTTTGGTGGCCACGAATGAAGAAGACAGTTGCAGAATTTGTAGCCTCGTGCTTGATATTCCAAAAGGCCAAGGTGGAACATTAGAGACTAGCTGGTCAGTTGCAATCTTTAACTGTCCCTGAATGGAAATGGGATGATATAGCCATGGACTTTGTATCTGGATTTCCAAGGACGATTGCGGGTTAAGATGCCATTTGGGTCATTGTGGATCGCCTTACTAAATCTGCTCGTTTTATTCTAGTAAGTATTGGAAAAGTTGGCTCAAATTTACGTCAAGGAGATTGTGCGATTGCATGGTGTACCCAAAAGTATTGTATCTGACAGGGATCCTTGTTTCACGTCAAGATTTTGGGAAAGTTTACATCAAGCTTTAGGGACGAAGTTACGACTTAGTTCGGCATATCATCCTCAAATGGACGGACAATCAGAAAGAACCATCCAAACTTTGGAGGACTTGCTACGGACTTGCATTTTGGAACAGGGAGGCCAATGGAATTGGGATTTGCCTTTAGTCGAATTTACTTATAAAAATAGTTACCACTTAAGCATTGAGATGGCACCCTACGAAGCTCTCTATGGAAGGAAATGCCGAATACCATTGTGTTGGTTTGAAACGAGTGTAAACTTACTCATCGAGATGAAATTCTCTCAAGACCGACAGAAGAGTTATTATGACAAGCGAAGAAAACCTCTAGAATTTGAAGAGGGAGATCATGTGTTTCTCTGCGTAATCCCAACAACGAGAATTGGAAGAATTTTGAAACCTCAAAAACTCAACCCAAAATTTATTAGCCCTTACTAAATACTTAAAAAGATAGGGATTTCAGCTTACTAGATAGCTTTGCCCCCAAATTTATCTAACCTTCACAATGTTTTCCATGTTTCTCAACTTTGGAAATATATTCCAAACCCATTGCACATAATCAACTCGGATCAACTGGCTGTGAAAGACAACTTAACTTTTGAAGCCATACCTTTCCAGATTACTGAACAAAAAATCAAACGGCTTCGAAATAAAACAATTCCTTTGGTCAAGGTAACTTGGAGTAGTATTGACAAAGGCAACGCCACATGGGAGCGAGAAGAAGACATGAGGCAGACATACCATGATTGTTCAATTCAGGTTTGTCAAATTTCGAGGACGAAATTTCTCAAAGGAGAGGAGTGTTGTTGTAACATCCTGCACTTTGATTTAAATAAAATAAGATTTATTAAAGTATAATTGGAATAGATTTGGATGAAATTTATATTGTTTTTAAAAAAAATTGATGATGTCATCAATGATGTTATGCTAATGTCACGTACGCATATAGTTCGTGTACAGTACGCGTACATAGTATTTTCAGTGTGGACAGTGAACGCGAACAGTGTTTTCGTGCGTGAACAGTAAGGCGGTGAACAGTGTTTCAAAATTTTTTTATAAAAAGGGAGTTTCACACGAAATTTTTATTTCTTCACTCCTATCCAAGGTTCTAAGGCTATATCTCACCATTTTCTCTCATAGTAAACCCTCATAAACTTAGATTTCTCTTCAGATCTGTGATTCTACGTCCGTTCTAAAGGATTTCAAGTAAATTTCTCTAAGTTTGAAGTTAGATTTACTGTTTGTTTCTGCTCTTCTTCTTTTTCTTATAGATGTTTATAGTGTTCTTAGGAAAAATTCCGTTCTAGAGTTAAATCTTCGATTAAATCTTTATAAAAGCTCTATTTTGAGGTAAGAGGGGCTCTACTTTATCATTTTGCTATGTTTATTACTTGTATTCTCATAGATCTTGTTATATATGTGATTATATGTGGAATAATTCTTGTTTTATGAAAAATAATCGGTGAAAAGTGAGAATAATTGGTTGTTTATGTAGTATTATGATGAATACATGGTGAAAATGTGTTATTATGTTCAAATCGTGCATGATAAGGTATATTGAGGATGATTGATATGATTTTATGATTTTGTGATATGAAATATACAAAGAGATGGATGCTTCATGTTTGAATATATTGTGGTTCATGTAAAAATGATTTGTATTGTGAATATGCCATGGTTTGATGTATATAATGAAAATTATGTGAAAATATAATGAAAAATATGTGTGAACATGAGAAATGACATATGTGAACATGTGATTATACTCAAAAGAGTATGAGATGGAAAATGATATGATGCAAATTGTTACAGAGATACACTAGGGGAGTGGAAGATGGAGACGATATGAGATATCTTGGAAAAATGCAGAATGGTGAGTGACATTCAGGGTTGTGCACGAAATATTGTGTACAAATGCATTATATGGCCACACACTCGTTTCTCAACTTGACTCCTGACCATTACCTTTGCTAACAGGCTGTTTATTTCATACATTGTTTCCGTATTGCATTGGGTCATTTGACGACTATTTACATAGATGTGTAAGACCTCGGGATAGAGGCATCGAATAACTATGGCCATAGGGCGCGGTAAACGCAGGTAAAAGAAAAAGAAATTGTGAAATCTGTGAAATATAATGTGTTTATGTGTTGAGATGAGAACTTGCTTTATATGACATTGTGATACGTAATACCATGATGTTTTCTTTAATCGTGATAAGATGTGTTTTATGATGAATACATGTTATGTATGAGTGGTAGGGTAGAGACTCACTCTTACACAACATTTTCAGGAAACTAGGACGAGTAGTACTAGGCTCACAGCGCATTGATGGATGAGAACTGCTATACGACTTAGTTATTTTGAGTTATATAATGGATATTTTCAGTTCTATAGCATTATTTTGAAATAGTTGTAAAACTACTATTTTTTTTTGTTGATAAAAATTTTAGAATCTTTGTTTTTCTAAAGTACTTATGAATTAATGAAATTTTACTCTATGAACCTTATATCATTTCATTATTTTTTTTTTCTAATTAGAGAGTTTTTGAAAGAAAATTTACTTATGAGGGATGTCGTTGCTACGACATCAATTAGCTTGTATGCATCATCTGGATATTTTCTTATGAGAGACCCTCCTGCTGCGGCATCAATCATAGCCTTGGTGGTGATTGATAGGCCACTATAAAAGATTTGCACTTGTCTCCACGTCGAAAAATCATGATGAGGACATCTCCTCAAAAGCTTTCCAAATCGCTCCCATGCCTCCAACAAGGATTCTGCTTCATATTGTTGGAAGCAACATATCTCTGTCATGAGTTTTGAGGACTTTGATGGAGGAAAGTATTTTCTCAAGAATTGTTGAGTGAGGTATTCCCAAGTTGTGATGGAGTTGGCTGGAAGTGAGGCGAACCAAGCATTCACCTTTTTAGATACTGAGAATAGGAAAAGACGGAGTCGAATAGCATCATTGGAGACTCCATTATATTTGATAGTATCTGTCAATCGGAGGAACTTTGTTAGATGGAGATTGGGGTCTTCTTTAGGCATGCCTCCAAATTGTATGGAGTTCTGGACCATGGTTATGAGTTCTGGTTTTAATTCAAAATGATTTGTCTCCACATTAAGGGACGCGATGCTTCTAGGAGTGCCTCTAGCAGTGAGTATGTAATCTTGACTTGATCTCCTTCCCTCTGCCATTCTTTGCGCTCTCACTTCTTTTCTTTGTTTACGAACTGTTCTTTAAATCTCCGGATCAAATAAACAAACTGTAGAGCACTTAGAACGAGTGAGCATACATTAAAAGAAATTGTGAAATAAAAAAAATTAAAATAAAATAAAAACAAATTATAAAATATAAAAGAAAAATTTAATAATAAAAAAACAAAATTAAAATAAAATAAAACACAAATTGCTCAAATCAATTAAATTTGAGATTTTCTTAATATTGAAAAAGTAATCCCTGGCAACGGCGTCAAAAACTTGTTTGGAGGGCAAGTGTACCTATCGAGAAGTAATAAAAGGTTCTTAAATTAAGTTCCCGAAATATCGTCCCACAATGATTGTTTTTCAATTACTAAGAATTTCTTAATTCAATTGTTTAAGCTTCAAAGATATGAGACTAATTAAAACAAGAATTTATAAAATCAATTATAAAACTAAGAGCAAGGAATACAATACACGTCTTGGTTAAATGTATCGGAGAGGAACCTAGGGCATATGGGTTTTCTCATTCAATTCTTTATGTTATTTTTCTGTTTAACTCTAAATCTGATTTCCTTGTGATTACCAATCATTCATACCAATACTATTAATACCCAATGGTCATGCAATATTAATATTCTTTTCTCTAAATTAACATCCTCAATGATCATGCAAGATATCAATTTAAGAAAGCTTAAGGAACCTATGAACTTGTTAATTTAATAACGATTAGAAGAGAAAGATTGGTTTGGTCCATCTAATCTTTTGTCTCGTTTTACCCTATAGATCTATTAATTAACCGAGGTACAGTCGCCTGACGATATAATTAATTAGGATTAAAAAAGAAGCGCAATAGGATGAAATCTAATCACAAAACGGAAATCAAATTTAGATTCAAATATCAAAATTTCATAAATTCATGAACAATAGTTCCCATAGCCCTAGCTATGGACTTAGTTACTCATGCTAAAGAAAAGAACTAAAACAATCATAAACAAAACTATAATCAAAAGAAATAGCAAACTAGAGTATGAGATGTGTTCTTAGTATTTAAGTACAATCGATTAAAGCTCCAAGTCTCGCTAAACATATGCCAAGGATCCCGTGCAAGAGAGACGAGATGAGAAGTGTCAAAGACTAGGTGTCAAAAACGGTCCTTTTTTTACGATGCCTGATATTTCCTTTTAGAAGGGTTTGAAAACTCTAAAGACTCTTGATAATTAGGTTTTTCGTAGATGATCACGGCCGTGCAAGGCCTTAAGCACGATCGTGCATGGGCTCGAAGCACCCTCGTGCTTGTTGAAAGGGTCTGAGTGTGCTGATTGCTGCGAAGCTCTAATTTTCTATCAATTTGGGTCCAAAACACACCCAAACTATACTTGCGGCATCTTTATACCAAACTGCATAATTAATAAATAAATTAGTGTAAAATCCAAATAAAATAAAGGTCAAATATGAATATATGGGCTGTAAAAGAGGACCTAATTACATATTTATCAGCCAACAAGCCCTTGTGGACACCCATTACTGAGGATCTTGACAAGCTCATTCTTGAAGATTAAAAATTGAATTGATAAAGATATTGTGCTCACAATAGTAGGGAATGAAGACTTCCGACTGCCTTGACTGGAGGAATGACAGAAATTAGAGGGAGTATAGAATATGAGTGGCATGCATAAATTTCATAAGTTTATTTAAATTCTTGCGAGTGTATGATGTACTCTAATAGTGTTTTGATATAATACTGCTTTGTTGATGGAACAAAATTTCTCTTTAGTTTGGTTCTTACATGTTATTGTGAATGTTATGTGAATGATTCTTATTGTCTTAGACTCACCATTCTGCTTTGTTTTCCTTTCCTTCCTTGGCCTCTTTTCTTGTTTGCTTGTATATATATATTTCAAATGTTCATCGATTAAGTAAAGATTTGGGTACTGGACAGTGAGAGGAAATGAGGATGTATGAGCTTCATACTGATTGACGAGGGTTAGAAGCCCTACTAGAACGACAGTCTTTTGGCCGAGATCTTCATTTCTTTACGAGAGATAGAACAACACCTCCCTTTCTCCTAACTTACTTCTCTACCAAACCCTTCAAACTAAACACCACCCTCCTAACTCTTATGAACCTAAATGGAAGAACATTGTTGTTGTTAAATCTTCTATCTGACCTATACCATGCCACCCTGTGAGACTTCCTCCTCCACCTTGTGGGACCCTCCATGCAGCGTTTGTCACCACCACTACCTCAACTCGCATCGCGCTCGCCTCCTCCTACTATTGAATGGATAGATAGTGATGACGATTTAGCTCCTCCTCCTTCACGTCAGGCAGGAAATGAGTCTCTCTCTTTTGATGGAATGGAGTTTGATCCTAGTAAAGATTCCCTTCCGTTGAAATATTTATGTAATTTCATTTTGAGTCATAGATTGTAAATTGCTCATAGGATAGTTTCCTTTTATTTATTTTGGAATACTTATGATAGGGGGATATTTTTTGGGTTTGGTTTAGATACTGGTGTTTCTAAACTTTTGATTCACATATATAAATCTATGTATGCATGTTATGTTCATATTTGCGCATGGCTGCACCTACCTATGCATTTGGTCCCCTTTTGTGAGTAAATATAGATAAGACCCTTAAAAGAGGTATCAGATTTTCATTTTAGTACATATAAGAGATCTAAACTCAGACTTGATAGAATGGGAAAAATAAAATCATTATTTGTGGCAGGAAAAATACAAAAACACAATTTTATTCTTTAAATACTCATTGTCGGTCTTATAACATTTCTTACAAATTCTACTCAAGTCATAAACGTATAGAAATAGAATTTAGTTTTTCTGATGATAGGGGTACAGCTAACACAATACAGTTTTATTAATGGTTCAAAATAGAAACGCACACATACACATTTCAAGTCCAGCTTGAACATTCCAGCACATGACTTCCCTAAATCACCTACACGCAAACACTCAAAATTTTCATTCATGCAAGGTGGTGAAACAAAATTTTCATTATTTCCATTTTAAGGGAAGATGCTTTTAGAACTTTCTTTCCTATGCTCATTGTATAATTTGTGGGCTTTTGCCCCTTTTGTAAATAAATAAAAGAAGTGTATATGTACTGTTAGAGCTACAAAGGATCCAGAAAACAATAGAGCTACGAGGTCAGGAAAATGATTTCAAAATATTGATTAAATTAAAAAATATTTTTCAGGAAAACTCATAACCTTATTTATATCTTATTTCTATAAATGTCTCCCAATACCATTTTAATGAAGTTATCATTCACCATTGTTTTAAATTCGACCAAGTTACAAATATTACTACCGAAATTTCTAGCATAGAAACCAGAAATAGTTCAATATTAGTGGGACTTAATTACACTTGTAGTATTAAAATTTTAACCTATATGTAATTTTAATTTATTTAGTTTAAATCATATACATCAAGTTTTTTATTTTTTTCATTTATATAAATTAAATTTCACTCTAAAATTTTATCTAATAATTAATAATAAGATAACAAATAATAACCACCAATTTGTATAAATTCATGCACTTTGTGCATTTTTTATTGACTAATGTCACACCTTTTAATACATTTATGTTAATTATTGAATGAAATATTGATCTAAATGACTTAAAATTTTGAAAGATTAAGACGACAAAATTTAATTAAAACTAAAAAAAAAACAAATTAAAATCACATTTAACTTGGCTTAAATAATTTCAGTTTCTATTTTTTCACATTGTTTTAAGTACCTATTTTTTTCAATTTTAGGCATTGTGTTTTGTTTTTAGTCCCTACTCTTTCCACTCTATTTTGTCTGTTTTTAGTTTCTTATTTGTTTTATAGTATACAATATATAGAAACTAAATAAAAACACAAAATAAAGACTAAATACAATAGAAATGAACTAAAAACAAAAGGAAGAAAAATAGAAATTACAAATAATAGACAACTAAAAGCAAAAAAAAAAAAAAAAAAAAAAAGAAAAGAAATAATGACTGAAGTTTAGAGAGAAACTAGAATATGGAGACCAAAAAAAAAAAAAACTATCAATGAAATAGCTTACAAAATAGCATCTCAAAAGTCGGTATAAAATCTAAGCTGAAGGCAACCTTAACCAAGGAACGACTTAGAATGAATCATATGTATATACCAGTCCAGATCATTCGTTCATACGCAATATGGCAACGAATCGCGCAGTTCAGTATGGAAATGGAAATAATAATAAAATGAGATTCGCAAAAAGTAAAAAATCATTTTATTGGGAAAGAGAAAACAGACGTTTTTGTGGTCTATATGTATGGAAGAAGTAATGATTTGCAACTTTACACTGCCATCAAACTGATATTATTTTCATTTAAAACACTTTTACAAATTTGTCTTGGGTTTGGCACCTCCCGTTACACGCCTTGTCACTGACCGCATGGTTACAAACTCTTCTGCAGCCGATGGGTGTATTCCCACCTAGATGTAAGAGAGAGAAAGGAAAGGGTCACAAAGACAGAAAATGAGAGAACATCTTGCAATGATGTAAAGAAATCATCAAAATATTGAGGTTTCATTTTGACCTAATATTTTAAATTTTTAAACTTCAATGAATGAGAAAACTTATTGTAATATAAAGGGACGACCAAGCAGCTTAGTTTTCCTCGAGTATTAGCTTCTAATATGTTGTCATATCAATAGAAGTTTCTAGTACTCAATCATAGTTAAACCTTTTTAATGATGTATAGGTATATCATTAAATGACGGTGTAAAAATTATACACTAAGATTCGAAAATCAAATAAAAAATAATTAAAGCGAAGGAAAGTATAGATACAAGAATTAATGGCACGGTAGTTCTATCCTAACCATCTACAAAATTGTGGAACGATGCTTGCTTAACTTTGTAAAATGACCCCTAGTAAATTATAAAATATGTAGCTTAAATAACTAATTAATCCCCAAAAAAGTCACGCTTCTTTATTATATTCTCGATAAAAATTTAATTCATTTTTAGTCTTCACATTTAACAGAAAAACATGATATTAATTAAATTTAAACCATTAAAAAACTTATAGCTCTATGATGCTTAAAAAAATGGATTTATAGTTTTGCACAGGATCCTTCAATTATCAAACAATAACAACTATTTCTTCATCAAGAAATTACGATTTCACAATGACGACGACTTGTTATAATGCATTTTTTACCAGTTAAATTATTGGGATAATCAACAATATTCTTGTTCACTCAAATTGAAATTGTTTTGGTGTGAGCAAAAATAAGTTGCTGTCTACAACAGCATTTGGAGCCACAATATTGCAGTTAGGAGGTCTCCACAACCGCATTGCAAATGCAATTGCAGTAAAATTCTGCAATTGTTCGCAATTATAGTAATCACAATGCAACCACCACAAAGGTTATTTAAATTGAAACGATTGTTAAAATTCCACAAGACCCATGCCCACCTCCTATCCTCCCTTGCTCAGTGCAAATTAAAGAAAACATTGCATAACGGAGAAAAAAATTGGCTCTCCTGTTATCTCTAATATTCTTTGAGACCGACTCAGTAGTCTAGAACCCTTTTTATCTCTGCATATTGTAGCTGCCGGTCATGATTATAAGCTGTAAATCTTGTGGTGTTCAGTCAACGATTGTTTGTTTCTCTTTCCAATTTGTACTTTTAATTGTTGAATATCATAATTCACAAGTTTCTTTATCTCATGTGTCCTCTTCTGTTAAAAATCTTTTTACTTCATCTCAGTAATTCACAATCATATGTTTCGAAACACTATTTGTATCATATACCTTCCTACACTACATTTTCCAACACTACTTAAATGTAGACAACATTCTTGAGCAAATATCAGAAATGTTAAGCTAATTCTAGATGCCATTATATCATTGCCCTCAGGAGGCAGAAGAGAAGTACACAATAAAGAAAGCTGTGAACTTACCGTGCTGTCAAACTGTGCCTTGGTAGCTCCACACTTCAAAGCAACAGCAATACCCTGTTGATCAACAATATTAATATAATTAATAGAGGAAAAGAAGCAAAACCAATGAACAATATAACCCATGGACCATGTTGAGATGCCATGTTGACTACATATATGGTTAAAGTAGAGTTTATAAAGGTCAAGACAATCCTCAACTTATGAACTAGTTTTTGTGATCGAGTTAGGCCAACCCCAAATTTAAGAGAACAGAAGCACATGACACTAATATGAGATGCATACAGAAATATGTATCCATATCATCAATATTACAACTATCTATATAGTTTCTGTTAATTTGAGGATAGGGATAGAGCAATCAATTCCAGAATTCTGAAAGTCCCTTTTCATTAATTAAGGAAAAGAAATTTTGAGAGAAAAAAGAGGAAACAAGGATCATATATCTTCCATTCTTCTCGAACAGAAAAGCCAAGATACAACAAGGAGCGTATAAAAATTAATAATACAAAGCTTCTCAGATTTGTGATTCAGAATTTGAATCGAAAAGCTCAGTTTGCAATTTATCTGAGACTGGAATGATTAGCATGATTCAACATGTGGTTTAAGGTAAAAAACAAGTCTTCATGTGATTTTTATAGATTGCTTTGGAAATTGTTTCAAACAAAGGATAATAATCATATGATTTTTGCAATTCTAACTACCATGAATCTAATAATATACCTTGAAAAAGGGTCTTTGGTAGCAGAATAGTGAGTGATAAATCACATAGCACGGTACCAAATCATAGGTATTTAAGTAGAGAATGAGGAAAGGAGAACACAAACTTTGAATAATAAAATATAAAATGGATAATGTTGTCTAATGATGTGTTACAAAATACAATGCAATAACCCCAATTAATACTATTACTAGGACTTCTAAACCAAATTCATTAAGGAAAAAAATCATGGAAGATTGATGCCACTCCCAAGAGATCATCTGAGATATTCTAAAGATATAATAATAAAATATTTTCTTGATCTTGCAACAAGAACAGTGTACGAAAACAAAAGTACAAAGGCTTCTAAACAAAAGACAATATAGTGACAAAAATACACTATATTGGCATTTCATAGCTGGATGACGGTGAAACCGTTAGGATACCTGTATAATTTCAGGTGCATCAGGTCCACACATAGAAGCTCCAAGAACCTTATCTGTCTCAGCATCAACAACAATCTTCATAACAGTTTTTTCTTGTCGCCTATTTGAAAAAAATCAGCAACTGACAATAATATAGAAAAGAAACACACTGCAAACATAACAAACACTGGTTCCAACTAAGAATTGCAGAGCTTATAGTAATAACAAAGACTAACATAAATCCAAGTTAACCATAACATTTTGATTCTTAACTCCCAAAATAGATTTGTAATGGAGTACAGCGACGACAACCAAGCATTATTCCATTTGAGGTTGGCTACATGAATCACACGATGCTATTGAACTTAGTCAAAAACCATATTCCCAAAAATATTATTTATTAATTAACTAGTCCTAGCACAATATCATTTTGAGTAACCCATGTAAAATGTTTCAACGAGTATGTTGGCTACCAAAGGCCCAACACTACCCTCCTTTGGCTCCTCCTTTTTACCTAAGCATGAGACTGGCTTATGAGACCAAAGGTGGAGGTAGATTTGTGATGGAGTAAATATACAAATTCAAAGGTAAGTGGATACACCAGACCAGCACATAATGTAACTAGAGTAGATGCCAAAGGGTTTTAAAATATATGTATCAAACAACATTTTCAATAGAAATTATTGTTCTCTGGTTCAATTTATCATGAATTTTGCAAGTCATTGGTTTGCAACAAAGGTTAAGGGTTGAAAATTCCAAATCACTACACTTACCCAGAGATAGTATTTTTCATTGGATTAAAAGTCGATGTGAAAACCAACAGATCACCATTGGTTTGCTCTATTGCCTCCTCCTCACTGAGACCAACTACAGAAAGTGGCGGAATGCTGAAGAAACACAGAAAAGAATGTGCAATATATTATTCTAACAAAACAATGAAAGATAAAATTGAGAAGAGGAAAGGGGATACACCATATGTTATGTTCAAAATAGCTAATTGCTGTCAAGTTTTATAACACAAAATTCAACTATACCTGAACACTGCACAGGGGACATCCCTATAGTCTGGCTTGCTTGGTTGCCCACCAAATACTGTTTTCTGCATATATTTTAAATAAAGTAAAATGTTAAACAACATCATTTAGACCATTCAACTGCTGAATCTTCCCTACCACATTGAAATGATAAACAGGTTTACTTATCCACTCAATATCTGAACACTTACAGCAAAGCATGATGCTTCCATCAAGGCAACTGGAGTAAGATTCATTCGGTTTGTTACATCACCCACAGCCCATATGCTAGGTATGTTGGTCCGTGAATACTCATCCACCTAAACACAAGGATGCAGAACATTTAGAACTGAGTGCCATAGTCATTACCTAGCTCTTATACAATTGTCCAATTCAATATCCAATCATTGATAAAAGCATTTCAGATGACATAACCTAAACTAAGATCAATTTATTACTTCAGACATTGATAAAAATGTTGCCAAAATCACACTCCAACTTGTTGGAGCATGTGATTCAACACTTTTCTCTTTCCTAGTGAGTCACATCTCACTTGCCTGCCTGGACTGCTACCATGGTTGACTTATTGTGGATCATCACTCCAACATATTGACTCCAAAAACATGCCACAAGTGCTGCTTGAACCAGTTGGGTCACGTGATCCTTCCTGGAAAAAGTATATATATTTGTAGAGATGGGTTCCCTAATGCTGTGTAACCAACTTTCTCCCAAACACTTGGCACACTCTCCCTGACAGTCAACCCCCTCCCCATGTTCTTCCTCTCTCCCTAACTCTGTACCACTCTCTCTCTAGTTTGCTGTTATTGTTAACCAGTTGAGCATTCTAAGCTTGTGTAACTTATGTGTAGTATAAGACCTTGAGAATATTCAATTTTAGGTTTGACTAAATGCTTATGCGAGTGTTACAAATTAAACCCAACAGAGAACAGTTAAAAGTAAATAATGAAGAGATATGAGGAAAAACTGAGTGTATATTATTGAATGGATTGAAATATCAGTAGGGGAATACAACCGCTGCTGCCCAGAGCGTGACTCCTATAGAGAGCTATTGCTCTCTATCCATATCTAACTATAAAAATATTCTTCGATACACTCTCCTTACCGCCTCTGCCCCTGTAAGGATCGTCATAACTAACTTTCCCTATTACCTTCTCTCTCTGCCAGCTCATTACCCATTATTTCCTTTCTCCTCTTATACACCCTCCAAATGGTGGGCCTCTTATACGGTTGCTGGGCCATAATGCCTTCCTGACTATTTTGGGCCGTAACAGTGGATGTTGCCTAAATCCTCTTTGGAATCCATATCATAAAAACAAAGCATACAATTAGGCGTGGCACACCTTATTATGATGAAGCTTTAGTTCTAACGGGAAAGGGACTTGGCCTTCATCCATTAATTCATTTTTTTTAAGTTCCCTCCCATGAAGACTCGTCCTCACCTCCTCCAATTTGAGACTATCCTTTCCAACATCCTCATTTGGGGATGCTCTATAATCCTGGCCTAAGTAGAAGCTTCTCGGCAAAGGCAATTAACACAACCTATTATTTGGTAAACAAGTCTCCCAACTATTGCTTTAGACAATGAAACCCTTTTGAGGAATGGTATAATATATGCTAATTATTCTATTTAGAAAGTTTTTAGATATCTTGCTTATTATCATGAGAATGAGGATAAGTTCGAACCCAGAGCTAAAATGGGGTTGTTTTCGAGCTTTGTTCATGAGGTGACAATATAGAATTTGGTCCCAACTGAAAAGAAAATAGTTTAGTAAGGATGTTTCTTGATGAAATTTCTATGCTTCACCCAGTATTGGAGTTTCCTGGTGTTTCAGGTAAACATAAGGAGAATACTGATGAACAAGTGGAGATAAGCGTGATTCAAAGAAAGAATCAAATGCTGCTGGTTTGCTTAAGGATTCTAACATTGCACCTCAAAAATATGACTTTGAGGACATGGTAGCATATGCTTTGCATGTAGCAAAGGAGGTGGAGTTACTTGAACCAACTAGCTATAGGGAGGATTCTTAGTTGATTGCTGCCATGGGTGAAGAAGAGATGGAGTCTCTTCAGAAGAATCAAACTTGGAAATTGGTCAAACTACCAAAGGGAAAGAGGGTAGTAGGATGCATATGGATTTTCAAGAAAAAGGTAGTATCTAATAAGAGTGCTTCATTAAACAAACTTTTTTCCAAAAGGTAGTATTTTCCTTCACCTTTTCAAAGGCATGTAAACATACAAGGGCTTTGGAGGATTAAATATATAAATTCCATTATACTTTATAAATTCACCAGAGCTTTCTAATATAACTCAGCACACTAGTCAACATGAAAACCAAACTACGGCATTTGCACGTTGATATTCCAGTAAAAAACAGTCATACATCATATCTAATATCACTATTTAGTATTATAGAATCACAATTGATCCACATATCATTCAAATCCTGAAAATGAGAAACAACTCATTTTATTAGAATTCATGGAAACAAATGATTAAAAGAGAGAGCTGAGAACCTTTATTGCTCCAGTGTTGTCAAGTTCAACACCTACAGCATCTAAATTTAACCTCTTAGAATTAGGAGCCCTACCTGCAGCAACAAAAGAACACTTCAGAAGATACAATTTTTTAAAAAAACGCAAGCAAGGTTCCACGAGATAAAAGATGCAGGAAGCATTCTGCTGCCACCCAAAAACTAAAAAATAAAAAAAACTTCATACATTATTCATTGCTTCTTTGTAACTTTTGAGGCTTAAATAAGTTTTTAATCCCTCAAAATAAATTAAATTTTTATTTTGGCCTTTATAAATTTTATTTTTGTTTTAGTCCTTGACTCCTTGCATTTTCAAAATTTGTTGGTTTTGGTCGTCCCTCTTACTAATGTAGCTTCACATAAAAGCAACACATGGCATAAAATTGACATGTGGCAACATCTGAATTAACCAAATCATCATTTAACAGTGATAGTAGGAGACAAGAACAAATTATTTTTTAAAATATAAAGACTATATAGAAGCATCAGTGAAGAGAGTAGATGACATAAGTTTTAGGATGGTGAAAAGGAGTATGGAGACCCATAAAAACTTTAGAGGAAATTATTAAAAGAAAGTTAGCAATAAATAATATCTCTCAGAGAATTTAGTTTTTGCCGACCTCACTATTAGTGTGTAAAGATTCATTTATCATGAACTGATCAAGCTATCATGGATTAACAAATTCGATGGATAATCCATACAAAAAGACACCACTTCATACTGTTACAGAGTGTTTCATTATTTGAAGCCACAATAAAAATACAAGCTGAGCCTGAAGGAATTTAGGGTTGTAAATTCTATATTTTAGCCATAAGCATTTTAAAGATTAACCATTTTAGAAGTTTATGTTATAGGTGTCTTACCAGTGGCAAATAGTACAACATCAGCAATGAGCTCCTCACCATGATCTGTAATAACTTTAATGCCATCCTCTGTTTTGATCAACTAAAATAATGATATTTATTACCATTAGCTAAGAGTCCAACTAAAAGAAATGAAAAAGAAGTTTTACAGTTTAATGAATGATCACAGTGAGTTGCAAACCCATAAAGGAAATACCTGTGTCAAATTGGTCCTTGGATGCAAATTAATTCCCCTTCCTTCAAGATTTCTTGCAACTACAGCTCTCATTTCATCATCAAAACCTCTGCAACAGAATTTTAGTCAGCAGGAAGTAATGTAGGCTACAGAGAGCAGAAAAAGACATCAACAAGAACTAAGGAATAATGCAAATAATACATGGTATAGCAAAGGTTCTATTAATTCCCCCCGTGCCCTCATGATTTCTGGCAACTATAACTACACATATGATACCAAATAAACTAGCACTTTCAACATTAGAAGAATGCTACTGAAATAAATCCTAACCATGAAGTGGACTGGAGTTGATTTGGATCTTACAGATATTTTGCAAAAAATTAATAATGCAGAAATTAGACATGTTTCATGAGTTACTTGAATGAAAGCATTTATATACACCAAAGAATAAATACGTTTTAAAATTTACAAGAACAATAATGAAGCTTTACACTATTTCCTATGAGACTAATCTTTCCAACAGTATCCAACTCCAATAATACCCAATGACATACTAACTACTACAAATATTCCAACAGAGATCATAAATCTCATCAAATCAGAGTGACACGTCCCTATAAATTTTAGATATAGACCATGATGACCATTGATTTCAAAATTCAAATACTTATTGAAGAGATGAATTTGAATTGCACTGTTTCCTATAGATTGTGATGACTATTAATGTTAAAGTGTTGAATTTCTATTGCCAAAAACCATATTAAAGAAATGCCTGATAAATATCCTATTACTTAAGGTTTATTTTAAAAGAGCTAGGGTGAAGGCCATTAGGCTAAAGTCCCACTGAACCAAAATGGTTTAGAAAGGGGGTTAGTCACAAGGGGCTCGCTCCATTGTTGCACACATGGCAGCAAAGAGGAGGGAATGAGACCAGTATTCTCTATTCTGTTACGGGAGAGGGAAAAATGTAATGATGAGGGCATTTGAGCGGGTGGATACACTATAAATTGGAGAAAATACCCATTTTAGTCCGTGAAACTGCAAGTGTCAATCACTTTGGTTCCTAACTTCACAAAAATCTCACTTTAGTCCTTAATTTTTTAAATTTCACTCATTCCAGTCCTTTTCTACTTCATTTTTCATTATTGTCTAGTTTTAATGGACTAAAATGAATATCATTTTATAAATTCAAGCATTAAAATGAGATTTTTGTAAAGTTTAGGACTAAAATGATTTACACTTACAGTTTGATGAATTAAAATGGGTAGTAGTAGTGTTTCGGGAGGAGAGAAGTCCATTGAAGAGCCTGTCTTTGTATATCAAAACTATAAAACATCTACATGATTATGCATATTCTCTCAAACACCCACGGGAATTAAATACAGAATTGTGCAACCTAAAGTGCCACCTTCCAATTTTTACAACCATGTACTTCATTGCATATGTTCATGAATTTTCTATTTAGCTTGGGTAGGAAAGAGGGGTACTCTGGAAATATTTCATGTATCCAAGATTCTTCCTGGGAATCATGTCTCTAAATGAATTACAAGAATATAACATTTCCAGGGCAGGAATTTTTTAAACATATTTAGGAATATTTTGACAAAATGAAATACTTCTAGTGAAAATCTCAAAACATGTGATTACCAGAAATAAAAAATTATTCCACAAACCAATCCCAACTATGGAATAGGAAAGGTTGCTCTCTCAAAAGTGTGTACACTATGAAACTTACCATTTAGGCACATAACACTACTAATTCGACAAATGAAAAACTCTGCTAATATAAAAGCTCCCTAGTTCTATTATGTAAGAATTCAGTTTGAAATTAACTCAAGGTTTAAGCATTGCCATCTACCACATAGGATGATAAAATTAGTATTGTCTAACCCCTCTTCATATATCAATAGCAGGCTATAGCAGTGCTATAGCGGAATAGTGGAGCATAGCGGCCCTGCTATACAATTTGAAATGAATAGCGGAGCAGTTTTAAATAGTGGTCATAGCGCCACTATAGCGGCACTAGAGTGAAACTTTTCAAAGAAAATTCACTTTTTTCCTAAAAAAAGCAGTGTTTTGGGCAATTTTTTACTTTTATTGTTATTTACTTGTATGTTTTGCTGAAGAGCTGTGGCTTTTTATTTTTTATTATGAATATGTCATGGATTTTGGCATTTATATATATTGTGTAAATTATTTAATCCGTATATAAATTATTTAATTAGCAATCATACCGCTAAGCGCTATCCCACTATAGCATTTTTAGCGTTGGCCACTACATGCCGCAATCTGAAATAAATAACTATGCCCCTCTTCATGCTTAAGTGTCCCTTAATGCCTATGTAACCAATATTAAGTAACAATGGCACTTTTGTGTCCAATGAGTTCCAAACAATGTTCAGGTTTAGGAAAAAAGGTTTCTACAACTGTTAAATACATGTCTAAATTGATTTGCTAATGTTGAAACTTCAAAGCAAGAAAGGCAAAAAGAAGTCATAGCCAGAAGATCCATTTATGAACTCAGCACTTAAACATGAAAGATGTATGTCAAAGCCATACCTCAGTGGAAGTTCCTTTCTGAAAACTAGATGGACAGTGGAACCCATCCCTCGCCATATAGATGCAAACTCAACTGCAATATAGCTGAAAACAAAATATAAAGTAATCACCATGAGATAATAAGTAGTCACACCAGTAACACATAAGAAAACAAAGACACACCCTCCTCCAAGAATCACAGCACGTTTAGGAAACTCCTCTAAACTTAGTGCCTCATCAGATGTTATACCCAACTCCTGCACAATGAGACAACAGCAACAAGATTCATATCACATACATTCAAAAATTTTATATGGATAAATTTTAATTAGGAAAAAGAATGTGAATAACATATCAAAAGCATTTCTCAAGACTGAGTGCAGGACAGTTTTAACAGTTGAAAATCCAGAGTCTAAATTTCAACATTCCATGCAAATAAATTGTTCCCATGGTCAAGCATTCAAAAGAAAATACAAAGGTATATTCGGCGTTTAATGATGACTTCCTGAGTTATCGTAGAAAATGATTCAATTATTGCTAAGTTATGTCACCAAAATAAGCAGTTTTAACTCTAGTCAGTAATGTGATGATAACAGAAGAACCAGTAACAAAGGAAGTGATTTAATAAACAAAAGACATAATCACAAACAGAATTCAAGTATTGAATGCTGCATGAAATGAATGAGTGAATGTATCACTTTTCAAATTTCTCATTTTGATCACTCACTGGACTCAATATTAATGCTAAAATTATTTGTTTGAAAATTTACACTTTTTCTATAAATTTTTTGGTCAAACTTTGTTTTCTTTCATTCTATAAAAATTGCAAAATTGCAATAAGATTTAAAACAAGCAAATTGACCTGTCCTGGAATATTTGGACGTTGGGCCCTGCTGCCAGTTGCAATCAATATGTGCTTCGCTGAATAGGATAGTTTAGTGCCATCCAATTGTGTCACCTCAACTTCATTTGGACCAACTATCTTTCCCTCGCCTTCAAATAATTTAACCCCAGCATTGGATAACAACCGCTTGTAAATTCCATTTAATCTGTTTATTTCATCTGTCTACAGTTTGACAAAACCCAGATTATTTGAAGAACTGACAAATAAACTGGATTATTAATACTAATAAACTGCTTTCAGCTTCAGTAAAAGTAGACAATCAGGAGCGCAGACATCTAGAGTTTATAAACAAAGCAAGATCTAGAAAACCAAAGGCAATTCAATTCCAAACTACATCTCCAAGGCCTAAAAGTTCTTAAAAGTGATACTAATTTGATTTTGATAGCAGAAATAACAATGCTTTACATATTAAACACAAAAAGAAAATTTTGAAATACCTTCTTTTGCAAGAGCTTCTTCCAATTGAAGTCAATTTTCTCACTCAATTCCCACCCATAATTCCTGGCATCCTTCAAAAGCAATCATATTTATTACAGATGATGATCTCAGGAAAACTAATAATATTATTATTATTATATAATAATAATAATTAACTAGAAAGAACAAAAATATACAGAAAAACCGATACATTATATTACGAACTACAATATTGAATTGCATTTGCATAACATGTTTGACAAGAAGTTGAACCAATTTGATGGAGCCCATAAGGGAATTGGGCCCAAGGAGACTCTAGTCCATGAAGTGGGAACTAATCCTAAGGCTTGGAAAGTTTATGTCCGCAAGAAGAAGAAGGATGTGGCCTGAATAGTGGGAAGGTGGTTGCCTAAAAGTGGGAAGGTGGTTAGTGGAGAGAGAGTAATTCTCTGTTATTTGGAATGATGAGAGTACGTGGGGCTGAGGGTTCATTTTCTCTTTTGGTTAGATAATTTCTATTAGGATAGGAGATTCCTTATCCTTCTATAGGAGCTAGGCTCTGGACAAAGGACGTTTCTCTCACTGTAATTTTTCTTTATCGCAAATAATACAAATACAAAGTGTAGTATGTTTCCTTCTTTAATTCTCTCTATTCTCCATATCGTCACTCTGGTATGTATCACAATTCTACTGTACATCAGTAACTACATCATATCAGATCAGATAAAATATAAATCTAATAGGTCCTCAAGGCTGAAACGTGGCACATGTCCAGACATTTTAATATAACAAGGATTCATTGAAATGAGCTTTAAAAACAAAAACATTTCTACATTTCTTAGTTTTTTTAACAGTTTTGTTAACCTCAACTCTAAAGGTTAAGTTTAAGCATCCAAATGTAGTAAGCTTTTATCAAAAATGAAAAAAAAAATTATAAAAACAAAAATACAGAAGTATAATAAATACTTCCACTTCCAATAAAAACATACTACATTTAAATGTTTCAATTCAACCCTAAGGGCTGATGAGGTTGACAAAACTATTTTTTGAACTATTGTTCCTAGCTTTCTAAGGCACTAAATTATTTTTCTTTCATGTCTGCTTATTTGAAAAATTTATCCAATTATCATTAAATTTTTAAATATTTTTAATTTAAAAACACATTTTTCTAAGTTTAAACAATCGGGTCTTAAATTAATCTCTTTTAGGGATGTGAACAAAAATAATTATATCTATCTATCTATCTCTTTATATTGCATTACATAATAGCTCGGTAAGCAGAAAACAATAAAAAATGTGATGACTGATGATTTTTTTTTTATAGGAAAAAAGCAAAATATTAAAGAGAGCATAAGTAAATTTGAATAAATGAAAACAAAACAAAGGAAACTACAATGCAGCAAGGTTGCCCTGTCCATTTGCATATCAGAGATGGTTGCTCTCTAATGTTTCCTTCGGCAGAAACAGAACACCAAAGACAAGCTATACACAAATTTGTGTGCAACAAGACACCCTCAAAGATGCATCCATTCCATTTCAGCCAGACACATCAAATCAAATAATATAACAAAGCAGGAAAGGTACAACAATCACAATATATATGCAGTAACTAATCCATATTTTTAACTAAGCAGTTGATTTAGGATCATATCCTTACCTCAAGGTCACCTCCAAAAGATGCTCCATAGACCAAAATCTTTTTAGGAACACAACCACGAATAACACACCTTTGAAATATGGAAAAAAATATATAAGCATTTTCATGAACTATTTGGTAGTTGAAGTGTTGTCATCAAACATTGAGAAGTGAAAGAAAAGGATGAAGTACAAAACAAGAACTATATTATATCATTCTTATAAAGTAGAAGTCAGTCTATCACACAATTATCATGGAAGTTCACCAAAATTAAATTAAAACATTTAGCATAAAAACAGCAGACAGCACGAGAAAGAAATTTATGTGCACCATGTTTGCATCAGCAATGGATCATTACTATATTATCACTACATTATGTTCATAGAAATGCAAATAAATTAGCATACCACCACACTGAAATAAAACAAAAGAGAAAAAAGACTTGGAATTATTGATCTAGATCATATATATCTCGGAGTTGTAGCATAAAGAGATAGTGATAGTAAGTTTCCCAAGAATATGTGCATGAATATTTAACGTACTACCCAAAACAACATCTGACTACGTGGAATGAGCTACATGAATCAATCAATACCATTGTGCTCCGTTAAAATAAAAAATAAAAAATTTCAATAAAACCATTCAAAGCAAGATTTTTGTAATTGTTTCTCAAAATTCTTTTAGGGAAGACTTTGATACAAAAAACAAATGCGATTCACAGCACTATGATAGAACTCTCAAGTATATCCCAAGAAATAGAGGATTTTACTAATTAAAATGCAAATTACAGAACCATTATTCCAGTAGAGATAAACCCTAACCAGCCCAAAGCCTATGACTCCTTCAGAGTAATGGTCTATGCATTCTCTGCCAAGCTAAACAACTTTACATCAAACTATTTCAATGCTGCCTCCCTGTATCCCAAATCTCTCCTCGTATATCCCTCCATATGCTACACACACTCCCACAATTACAACCAACTGACACATTTTATTTAATTGGGCCTAGGCCCTTTTTCCTGGTTCCTATCACAGTATGCAGTCAGTTGGAGAAAGTGATATAATATCAAGTGTGTGTGTGTGTAGTTGTAGTGCATATGGCATAAATAACTTGCTTCTATATTTTTTATTTTCCAATTTCAGGGATTTTCATAAGCAATAAAAATTACATTATAAATTTATAATGTGCTTGCTCATTTTTAATTTCTAAAGCTCACAAGTTAAACTGTTACATCTTACCATCATCCCTCAGCCAAATTAAAAATCCAATCTAACTGTCATAATAAGAACTGAATAAAATATTGAAAATAGTTTCTTTCCATAAAAATTGTGTTGGCATGAATTGTTTCTTGTTAGGTGAAAGTACATGAAAGGTGTTAGGGATGGTTTTAGTATCTAACAATCAAGATAGTTCCCCAAAATTGATTTCAACAGTGTGGACTGGAGACAATTCAAAATAAAATAGAACTACAACTGTAAGATGGACTGGCTTCAGCTAGAGATGAATAAGTGTACAGTTACATGGATGAATATAGCTGTAATAAGGAAGAAAGTTCCCCTAGATAGATAAAATTGTAAAAGAGGATCTAAATATGATATTCTTTTTTTTTCTTTACTAATGTATGCAGCTGATTCCGAATTTTAAGCTTTATATAGTATTAAATGCTAGTATAATCTTCACAATCAAGCTGAAAGGCCGAACATCTAAGCACACTTGGAATTAATTTAGCATAGATGGGGAAAAATTTATTAAAATATAAAACAAGAAAAAACTCTCAAAAATAATAATGAATAGAACCAGTAGCTATAAAACAGTGATGTGAATGTATGATATAGGCAAAAGACAATCCAAAAAACAGAAAACAATAAAAATAAAAACAAAATTTGGGACCTGATCACATACAGAAATTCCTTTGAAAATGCATAATACATATTACATAAAGGTTTGACAGAAAGTCACACCAAAATAGAATTTTAATTTATTAGAAAAACAACTAGTGGCAACCAATTACAGTAACAAACTTGCAAGTAACTGTTGACATAGGCAAAGCTTGATATACTTGCTTTAGAGCTATTGTCACAAAAAAAAAAAAAAAAAAAAAAAAAACTTTGACAACCCAGTCATTATCTGAATATCAATCACAAAAACTTGGTAAAGTAGTATAAAGCATATCAAGAAAGAAAAGTATGTAACCCATATACAAGTGGAGAGTGGGATCTAAACTTCTTCCATCATTCGAAAGAGACTAAATTAATACCTCGGTCCTCTAATTATTTCGATTTAATCTCCGAACTCTATTTTTAGTTTGGATTTGATCCTCTAATTTATTTTTTGTTTGGTTTTGTCCTTTATGTTCTATTTCAGTTTAGCCCTCTATCTTTTTTTTGTTTCATTTTTAGTTTGGTTTTCTAACTTTATTTGAGGATCAAATAAAAAAAAAAAAAAAGTTAGAGGACTAACATAAAATAAAAAAGTTAGAGAACTCAAATACTAATTATGCCTGTGAAAGAAACAAAACGATAGAAAATTAAATAGAAGAAAGTTATCTATGCAATGGGAAGAGGTGTCAAGTTTATTACTTACGTTCCACCGACTCCTCCAACTGTTTCTGAGCTAATTGGATGAAATGGAAGCTCACAAATCCCCACCTTTAGACACAGGTTGCAGAATATTATCAGAACGCAACACATAAACCAGTAAAATACGTACGAGAATAACACTAGAGTACACAAGATTACCTTAAATATTGATAAAAGTTCAAGAGATTGTTCATTTTTGTATTTTGGCACTAAAAAAGCCACACTTGTGATTTTTTATCCTAGTGGTATGTGATTCTCAAAAAGGGTCTTGAAAAGCTTTTCAAACATTTACAATAATCCCACCACCCTCCAAAAAATCTAGAAAAAAGCTTCAATAGCAGAGATCTTCATCGACAAAACTGTTTTCACAGATTAATCATCATTAACACTATAATATTAGATGTTAACTGTTAAGCAAAAACAACAAGTTACACACCTTGGCTCCAAAATTCGCAGAAAACCTGGCGCCACGAACTCCACCACTTCCAGCCCCAATAATAAACAAGTCAAAGTCAAAATTCGTCCCTTCTTCTACACCTTTGCCCAACTCAGCTTCACCATCGATAAGCATCTTCCTAGCCATTGCTATCGAATAAATAGAACTAAATCTACATCAACAACAGCACCACTATTGTCAAAAAATCAAACACTGCGAGTAATGTTTGTCTGCCGAGAAAATATGGAAAAATTCAGCACGCATCCAACAAACCAAAAACTCGCCACACAAAAAAAATCAAGATTACTGCGTTTGACAGTTCAAGCACGCAGTAGAAAAAGACGACGTAAGAATTATAAAAGCATAAAAAAATTGTTTCAGTTTTCGGTGTATTCTGGATTTGTTTTCTTCGATTACTTTCCCGGGAAAAGAAAATGGAAAATCACCTGCGTGGTCGTAATAGGAGTAACTAGGTTTATGTATGAAGAAACTAAAAAGAACTTGACTACAGAGAGTATATATATGTTAGAGAGAGAGAGAGAGAAGGTGCATATGACATACGCGATGATGCAGCATCAATTTTAAGCCCCAGATGTCAGACAGAAGGAGAGGGGCGGCCGTTGATCAGTCCACGACCCAATTTTTTTTCTTTAATTTAATATATAACCTAAGCCTACAATGTGTTTCTCCAACATAACAGTGGCTGTGTAGCATTTTTTTTTTCAGGTATAATTATTTTTATCATGAAAATGGAATATATCCATTTTTATATCTACCAAAAAATTATTTTTGCTGTGAGAAAGATAAATTTAAATATTTAAAAATAATATTTTTATTAACAATATCATTCGTCATATTTTGTATATAAAATGTAATAAAGTGTTATTTTTTATAAATTTTTAGTACTTTAATATTTAAAATTAGATTTAGAAATAATATTACTAAAATTATTATTACTACTTCTATTATTATTATTTTAATTTTAATAAAAAATAATTATTTATAAAAAATATTTTTTAAGAATTTAATATTTAAATAAATATACTAAAAATGTATCACAATTTTAAAAAAAATTAATGTTATTAAAATTATATTAAAAAATATGAAAATAAAAATTTTAAAAATTACTTCACTGCATGGAGTTAATATTTTATTAAATAGAAATAATATTAATGTTTAAATAATTTTTTAATTATAAAATATATATATATATATATATATATATATTTCTAAAGTATAAATATAAATATAGAGGATAAAATTATTCTTTTGACTATTAAATACAATGATAAGATTGAAGAAAAAATTATTAATATATGTAATAAAATTTTTCATCTTATAAAAATATTTTTTTATAATTATTTATTTTAATAAATAAAATATTTATTTTTTTATAAAAATAAAATGATGTTCTTAATGGTAAATATAAATTTATATAATATTAAATAAATAATTTAATTGTAAGATTTTATTTAATATTTTTTAAAAATATTTTTTTAAAATATTAATATAAGAGTAATATATATGACTAAAGTGTGAATGTGTGAGTTTTATAAATTAGATATGAGATATTTAGCTCTTAGATATAAATAGTTCTTATTATGATAGTAGTATTGTGATTTTTATATTATGAGCTCTATGTTTTAATTTAATGAAATGTTATATGCAATATGATAATTATAAATTAGAGGTTTGACATAGAATAAATCTTCTAATAAAATATGAATGATTATGAATAAAGATGATTAAAGTCAGTATATCTTCACATGTACTTTTAAAGATTAAATTTTTATTTTCTTCAATATCAAACTTTAATATTCTCTTTTTTCCTTATCTCGAAGTATTTTTCTTGATAGGGTGTCAAAATGAGCCTAGCCCAACGAGCTGGCCTATAAAATTGATAAACCAGGTTGAATGCTATGAATCCACAAACTTGCCCCATTTTAGCTCACTAAAATGTGAGCCAATAACAAGTTGGCTGTCGGGCTCAAATTTTATTCTTTAAAAATAAAAAATAATTAAATATTAATAAAATATTAAATTTTAATAATGTAAAAATATTTTTTATTTATTATTTTTTTTGGTTAATTTTTGCTGGCTAGCCCATTAATCTAATGACTCACTAATTTTTTTATCTTTTATTTTGTTTTTGGCAGGCTAGCCCATTAGCTTGCAAACCTACTCTTAAACAGGTCAAGTTAGAAAATCTAGCTCATTTTTTAAACGTAGCGGGCTTGGACCAGATTTCATTGATGTGATAGAGTTCTTCTTGAGGTTGAATGGAACAACACTCCAAGCTCAGATTCGGAAGGGATTGAGGGTTCAAGAGAGTTTTCTTTGAGGAAAGAAAGTGAGGGCAGAGATAGAAAAGTTTTCTTAGCCTTTAATGCAAATTTCGAACACTGAATTTGCTTAAATACCCTTTTTGGTTCATGAATTATTGCTCAAGCGAGATGTACTCTCGCTTGAGTGAAACATATTCCCGCATGAATGAGAACACCAAATAGAAAATTTATACATGTTTTTGATAATCTCACCTAGACAAGATATGGTCCAAAGAGCTCCCACTTTCCCTTATAGCTTCTTGCCTGAGCAAGATATCTTCTGGCCTGGGTTAGAGGATAGTTAAGGCGATATATTCATTCTCGCCTAAGTGAGACTCATCTCGTCTAAGTAAGAATGCTCTGAAATGCTTGGTTCAAAATACTCAGTCTCGCTTGAGCGAGACCTTCTACAACTTCCAAAAATTTTAAAAAAATCTTCTTATTTAGAATATGCAATAATAATAAAATAATTATTTAATAATAAAAAATGAAATTGTTACAATTTGAGACTGCATTCATCTCCTATAATTGTAAGGGTATCTCCTAACTTACTATCTTTCATGTCGAATCTATCTAAAACATTATCGATATAGTTCTCTTGTGATAACCTTAGGAAACCATGAGAATAGTCTCTTAGCATCTTGATACCTAATACAAAAAAGGCTTAACCAAGATCTTTCATTTCAAAACTCTTTGTCAAAAATTTCTTAATTTCATGCAATAAGTCTATATTGTTGCTAGCAAGCATTATATCATCGACATATAAACTTATGCTAAACATAATCATTAAATATATTTTCCTCAAAACCATACAAGGTAATAACTTGATAAAACTTGTGATACTATTGACAAGAAGCTTGTTTGAGGCCACATATGAATTTCTTTAGTTTGCATACCATAGACTTTGAGTCACTTGACACAATTTTTTAGTTGCATCATATAAATCATTTCCATTAAAAACACACATTTTTCCTATGTTCTATCTCAATCGCATTCCATTACATAACAATATAAACAAATTCCAACACAAAAAGATAGGGTAGAGTTCCCCTTACCTCAGAATGATGACCCACTACGAAATCAATGGTAAAACTACCCCTATACGGATTTTCTTCCTAAATATATGGAAGACTCTGTGAGAAACAAAGGAGAACTAAGAGAGGGTGAAAATGAAAACCTAACTCATAAAACTTACCTTCAAATGTCCAAAACACGAACATAATCTTCAATATAGGGTGCAAACGGCCTTGGAGGTAATTTAATTGGTGAAATAGGATTAAGGATTGAGAGGATCGAAGAAGAGGTGAAAGAAGAGTGGAAAAAATGCATTTTCCAAATCCTGAACCCCTCAAATAGCTTAAGAGTCGAGATATTCTCACTACAGCAAGACATTTCTCGCTACAGTAAAAATATCAAATAAAACCGCACCTTATTTCTGCTTAGTCTCACTAGCCCAAAAAATTACCCCTCTCTGTTGCCTTCTCGCTACATCGAGAACACAACAGTGGCCCCTTCATCACCTGCACCCTTATAGTTACAGCAAGAATCCTCTCGCTACAATAAGAATGCCCCTGCAGTCCAACCTTAGCCTATATTTCCAACCAATCCAGCCTAACCACAAGTCAACATTCGCATTTAAATTACAACATACATATATACCTGTACTTATTCACACCATTAATCATAAATCAAAATGCACATTCAAATAATAATACACATGCTTATATTAATAATTAAAATATTATTACAAAATTTGGGGTGTTACATTATCACTTTAGGCGCATAAAGTGAAAACTCTGGAGTGTTTTTAGCAAGAATGGAGTGCAAGTATACACTTTAAGTGTTTAAGGTGAACACTTTAGAGGTGAAAATTTAAGAAGACATTGCACGTTAACACTTTGAGTGTTCAAAGTGAACACTCTGCAGAAAAAATACAAGGAAGGTTGCGCGTTAACACTTTAAGTGCTTAGAGTTATCATGGGCAAACTTAATTCCCCATAAAGGCATGCGCGTTAACACTTTAAACACTCAAAGTTAACACGTGCACCATAAACAACTAAGCTTTACCACTTTCAGCATTCAAAGTATTCACTTCAAAGAGTTCTGACTGAAGGAAGCTTGCACGTTAACACTTTAAATATTCAAAGTGTTAACGCGTAAGACAAAGTTTTGCAAAATCACTTCAAGTGTTTACCTTAAGCGTTCAAAGTGCTCACCTCAACCCAGGAAAGTTTCAGAAGACCTTCTACGTGTATACTTTAACCATTCAAAGTGTAAACGGGTTGGAAGGGGCGAGAAAATTATAAAAAGCTAGAAACTCAGATCTTTTAAAATCTTTTCTCATTTTTTTCATTTCTACACCTTATGAGAGTTAGAGAGAGAGATTAGGGGTGACTTCCAAGTTCTAAACCTTGAGGAATCAAGCTGAGAATTGAATTTATGAAGAAATTTTGCAACTCCTCTTCTACTTTTTCTTTCTCTCTTTTTTTTAGGAACATGTTCTGATTTCTTTTTATTAAGGATTGATGGATCCGATTTTGATATTGTAAATTGAATTGAACCTAGAGGATTTTCATCAATGAAAATTAAGTTAATTTCTCATATCTGAATTGAAAGTCAAGGTTATGGATATCTCAGGGATAAGAATTTGTGATTTTGTAATCTCTTGATTTCTCATGCCTAATGCAATATTTGATTGATTTACACCTAAGGACTTAGGGTAGTTACTTGAATATTAGGATCATTGAGTCAATGAATTGAACTTTGATTAATCTAGTGAAATTGATCATCAATCAATTAAAGAACTTATAGTTTAGATCTCATTTAGTTTTGCAATTGATAAAGAGGTGAAATTATTCATAACTTCATTCACACATAATTTCATTTCTAAATTTGTAGCTCTGTTTTACTGTAATTTTCTGATTTTTACACTTTATTGCTTTTGTTCTCAAATGATTCAAAGCATCTTCAATATTCGTTTGGCTCAACTAGTTATTGTTTTGTAAAGTGGTAATTGATAGAACTAATTCCTGAGGACGATACTTAGGACTCAAACTAAATTCTAAATTTTAGTACTTGCTACAACTACCTAACACACTTGCTAGTTAGTGTTCTCTCAGCTTTGTGACATGACACTCTTTCTTCATGTGTCTTGGCTTCTTATCTCATAGAAGTAGGTAGTTTCTCTACTGTTCCTTTTATTTTATTTTATTGCTGAGAAAACCTTTATGCAATATCTTTAGTTACTTTCCTTTTC